TGCTCCTGCCGGGAGAGAAAAGAACGAGGGAGGTGGACACCATTCCTCATCAGGAAGTTACAATGGATACTCCACACAGTGTCAAGCGGGATCAAGGGTACCTCATCCGCTACCTTCGTACGGACACCCAGGTGAGAAGGAAAGGACAAGAGGAAAGTGCAGGGTGTAAATGAAAGATGGAATGAATTATCTTACCTTTAGCTCGGCCAATAACAAGCTTGCCTCGATCAATTTACTCCGTTGCCCTCCTCGAACGCGACAGAAAGTAACCCGCGAACACTTTACTTCACTTTAGGTAGGTACGGAGTACTCGAACTCATCTCCATACGAATGCTCATTATATCGCAGTTTTCATATCAATCTTAATCCACGACTCCAGTTTCCAGGACATGGGCCATGCGTTAGCTACCTTACCTCAGGAACGCTTCGCTCCAGACTCCAGCTCGAAGGTTCAATCTTGATCAAACGAACTCGGACTTCGGGCGCGCAACAGAAAATGCGCGTTTGGTGTCAAGTCGCGGCAGGGTCTGCTCCGCGGCCCGTTCATCTCTCCAGTCCCAGTCCCAGTCCCAGTCCCAGTCCCAGTCCCGGCGGCTGACTTGCCTTGTCGTCTTCGATCTCCCACCCTCACCCTGCTCTCGGGCGAGCTGAGCTGAGCTGGGCTTAGGTCGACCGTTGAGATTTTGGAGCATGTGTCATTCTGCAGCGACACCAGAAACATCTCGCGGCAGTGCACATCCTCACGCAACCACACAATACTTTTCGTTCCGAGACATTGAAGATGAGATGAGATAAGATGAGATAGACCAGGGAAGGGAGCGCGTGGGCAGCCCATCTCATTCTCGTCTGCCTGCCTTGTCGTACATGTTCGGAGTCGGCGACGGCGACAGCGACGTCGACAGCGTCAGTGTCAGACCCAGGTCCCGGAGAGCTGGCGACTTGCTGCCGATCTACGAATACCTTTTGAACATGGACAAGACGCCTTACCTCGATTCAGTACCTTACTGGTAGACTCTGGTCTTCCCTGCACTCCCCCGGTCGAAGCCGACTGAACCCAGTCTTACCGGGCCTTTTCCGTGCACGTGACTCCGCATCCCCGAGCGGCTAGCTAGGGGTCCTGCGTCAGAGATTCCGGTGAAGCAGTTGCGCCTGATTCACTCACCACAAAAGACCCCTGTTCTCCTGTTCTCCTCGAGCCTCCCTGCACTAACGTTCACAGTGTCGCTCCTGCCAGCTCCACTAGCCCGCTGCCCAGCGTCGAGCCCACCTCATCACATCACATCTGCCCTCCCAGGACCCCGGCCAACTTCGGACTGCAACTGACACTGCGTTTCGTTTCGTTCGGCGACCTCAATTGAACTCCAACTCCAGCTATGGACGGCCGGACACGCAGACGGCCGGTCCCTCAAGTCTTCATCATCTTTGGTCTGTTCTCTTGATTCTCCTGCAAGCAAAAGAGCACGTATTCGTACGCGGGCCATCGCACCTCCATCATCCCGCACCAAAAAATCGTGTGATGGGTTCACATCTCGCAGCGCCTTCTCCCGTCCTCACACCCTCTTCGAGTTCGTGCTGCCGCGTTCGTGTGCATGGACTGGCTCTTCCTTCGGCCGGCAGGAGACAAGCAGGCCTTTCTTTGGCAGCAAACAAGCTCATCATCAACAACCTGTGTGGCCCAGGATCAGGCCCATGAGGGGAGGTGGCCTAGACAGCTCGCAGACATGGCTCTACGGGAACGGATGCAATCCTGTTCCGTCAGTTGTCAACTTGACGTACTCTCTTCAAGGCCCTTGTTGTTCCTACAAGTTGAGCCAGGTGCATGAACTCAATCTTACGGGATCTAAGCCGTCTGAAGACCGCCTCTTGGTTGTCTCTTCGCCCCCAAGGATGGCTTCACTTGTCAGCTCGGGGCCAGACCACGGCGACATACGCAGACCGGTCCGGGGAAATCGCTTTAGGGAAACGTGGCAATCTTACCCAACCCCCTTTACGGCATCTACGCGCTATCTAGGTGGCCGTATCGCTAAGCACTCGAGAAGCCGTGCAATCGAAAGCACTAGCGGAGGTATTTTCGGACATCTATGGTGTGCGCGTGTGTGGACTTGCATACTCTAGCTCGACATTTCGCATGCTGAGCAGGTTTTCACTCGGTCAATTGACCAGAGATCCTGCGGACAACACTCACAGCGGCGGGCGCATGTCTCTGCTTCCAATGTCTGTAAAAACAAAATAACCACGTTCCAATCAGGGGCGTTCGCTCCCACCCTTCAGCAAGGGTAACTGCAGAGCTTGAGGGAGAAGACTTGGACCATCTCCTGCCGCAGTAACCAGCATCTCGCAGCAGATGACTGTCCGAACTTGGGCGGACCAAGCTGAACCAGAACTCTTCTGAAGACGAGGGCCGTGTTGCTGCTTACAGCGGCTCTGCGAAGTACTTGCCAAAAAGGGAATGTCGCAGACATTCGTGCAGCCCATCAAACGGTCTATCTGGATTCAACACCGATGGCGCCGAAGGCCCCTGGGCGCCACTGAAGAGAATCACAACTCTCCAGGCTGTCAACGGGCGCCCAAGGTTTGGCGTCGATTTAACGCAGCACCCGTCATGAAACTCACGGCCCCGGGTACCCACGTGTATCGGCCGATTTCAAAAGAGACTACTCTCTTCACGGTTAAAGAATCTTGAGATTCCAGCTTGGCGGACTGCCCTACCAAGCGTTCATGGCCTTGAGCTAAACGTCTTCTGGCCCCGTACGACGCAGGGTTGAATGACCTAGGCCTAGTTTGGTACGCGTTGAGCGCACTGACTTTGGGCTTTGCTGAAGAGTCTTTTCTAAGTCGACCTGTCAAGGCTCGTGAGAGCTTGGCATACAAACGGACCCCTTCTCTACTGATGTCAAATGGCTAGGATCGAAGACATGTGCGTCTTCTCGAACATCATCCCACCCGAGGGGGCCTTTGATCTCAAACCTTTCAGACACTGTTGCTGCAGCTGCTAGCCCCGTGTGGCACCCCGCCAGGAGTTTCTCCACAGCTCCGGATCCAACCTCACTCCGCAGCCCCGGTGTTGCTTAAAGATTTCTCGACGGATCCCAAGCCTTGGCTCGGCTGCCTCTCCCGCGCGTGGCGGATAAGAGGTTCATGATGCTGACAAACGTATTCGGGCCTGGCCACTTTGACGCGATCACCGTCCTCCATGCTCACGAAAGGCATTACGACTTGTCTATACACAAGGCAGTTGGCAGTTCCTGTTCCAGTACAATGTGTATGACGGCTCAATTTCATGCCCTATTGACGGTGTTTCGTCGAACAAAGTCTCGGTCTTGAGGAAAATCTGCCACCGCATTCAGAGCATGTGTCCATGGGCGGTTTGGTCAACCTCTGTCGGCCATCGTACTACGGGACGCGTAAGAACCGTTCCACCGGCCTCATTCTCAGTCTTCACGGAAGAACAACAGCTCCCTCGTGACAATGACGCCAAAATTGCCCCATTGCGTGCCTCTTTCCGAATCCAAAAGACTGACTTTCGTCCCAAGTAGCGCGGAAAAGGGATTGAGTTGACAAGGGGGCGAGGGCCACATGCTCGCAAGAACGTCATTCTGAGCCGCCAGTGACAGCCATGGTTTATGGCATTGAAGCTTGTTAACCTCAGCTGTTGAGTTCTACCGAACGTCCGGTTCTAAACTCTCTTTACGGACTTTGATAGGTTTTTGGCATGAGAGAGAAGCTACGTGCCTCAGGTCGCTGACAGAGGCCGAGAAACTCGGCCGTGGTTTGACGAGACGGTTTCGAGGCTTTAACTCGATGTGGGAAACACAATAGGAATGATGAAGATAAAGGGGTTGATGAAATGACTAGCATACTTTTGTTGACAAAGGTTCGTTCCAAGGGTGGGTGTGTACACGTTGTTCTTCCGGATCTCGTAGGTTTAAGTAGGTTTGAGTAGATATAGGCTGTGTTTTCCGAGGGGTTGGGTCAGCGAAAATGTGGTGTTCGTAATGTTCGCGATCTCGCATTCAGAGAGGAAGGTTTCACCATATTTAAGCCTTTTTGTGAGGTTTTCTGGAGGGGATCGGATTCATCATGGACGTGTGAGTCTCGAAGACCAGTTGGTTGTATGGACGACACTGAGGACTATGACTGTTATATAGGGCTTTGCCGTTTGGTAGAGACACATCTTATGGGAAACTGCGCCGGCGGCTTTACGCGAGCCCTTGAGAATGGCTTCGTTTTGGGTTGTGGCTGTCGCTCAGGAGGATATGGTCAGGGGTTGTTTCGATTTCTATTCTCGCAGTCAGTGAGGTTTCGTAGCAAGGTATCTGTCACTTGGGCATAAGATTTCGACACGGGCAGTGGACCAACGTGGAAAAGGGTTTGTGAACTTTGTAAGTCTAGATACGATTTAAGAAACCGGGATCGATAATACGAGAAAGTCGCAGATGAGTAAATAATCTTCGTGACGGATTTGAGAACGGGACCGGAACAACGACGTGAAAATACCGTAGCTGATAATAGTTCTTCATGTCTCATATCGCAACGGCACCGGAAGTTGAGCTAACGGTAATAGCACCGTAGCTGCGACAAGAGTGTATACGATTGTCGGAAGAGAAAAAGGAAGAAGGCAGCGTGCGAGAAGTTTGGTGAAACTGGCAGAAATTAGGCAGGAGGATGGTCGAGAACAGCAAGCTGTTGTGACCACTTAGAATGCACAGGGGTTGTTTCTTCCGCACTATATAGTTCAGATAGGTTTCTATGGTGGCATTTCTCTCACATCTAGGTTCTGCAGAGAAACAAACTATTGACAACTCTATTCTTTGTATCGCTCACCAGGCTCTTCGTTGACTGCACCTTTCAACGACTCATTGGTATCACAAGCCAAATGACTTCAGCATTCGATGTTATTTCAGCAACCCTGACATCGAATTTCAAAATCAACGCCCCAGCATCTAAGACGTCTCGAAGCAAGAGCGTAACTCGTGCAACATACGCAGTCCAAACCTCTCTCAGAAATCATACCTGAAATCAGGGTTCTCCTTATCCGTCATATCCGCAAAAGCATTCTCATGCCCGATCCTCTCCTCCCCATCGCTCTTCCCTTTGGAACTGGACTCATTGTCATCCTCATCCCCAGCGTCAATCCTCTCCGGCCGGGCACCATCAACAACTCCAGCAGCGGCGGCCTTGCGCTTGGACGAGTTCCTCCTCACGAGCAAGAAGCGCATGAGGACGAGGAACAGGTTGAAGAGCACGTAGAGACAAAAGTGCGCGGTGAAGCCCCGGCGGTACCGCGGCGCGTCGCTGTCCTGGAAGATCTGGGGCGCCATCATGTTGCCGGCGGCCCAGCCGATGAAGGTCATGGCGAGGGTGGTGGACTTCTTGGTCTGGCCGGCGACGTTGCGCGAGATGAGGGAGAAGATGAGGTTACCCTCGGCGAGGTAGAACTGGGTGCAGTAGAAGGCCACGAGGAGGCCGATGCGGTTTGAGGGGGACGGGGGGATGGAGTAGATCACGGCGGTTCCGATGATGGCGGGACTTGGATTCACGTCAGCGCAAGTCCTTGTTAAGGAATGGAATGATATAGGAGAGACTTACATTGTCCATCCCTACGTCGTGTCGCGTTAGAAAGTTGGTTCGTATGAAATGTTTTAAGTGTGACTTACATGCATGACCCACGCGGTCTGCTTCGACCACGTAGCCAACGACGCCCCTCCCACCATCACGATGATGGTCACCGCGCCCTGTGCGATATTCAGCAACTGCGTCTGGAGATACGTGAAGCCGAACGAGGCGATGATCAGGTTGGAGAAGACGCCCAGGCCGCCGATGATGAGGGTCGAGGTGACCTGGAGCATGACGTAGCACCACACGACGGGGTCGGTGACGGCCTCGGCCATCTGGTAGCGCTTGTAGGTCTTGTTCTGGATGCCCGTCTCGTTGGCACGGACGCGCTCAATCATGAGGCGCTTCTGGTCCTCGTTGAAGCACTTGGCGGCCATGGGGGAGTCGGGCAGCCACCAGCCGATGAAGACGGCCCAAGCGACGGTCGCGGCGCCCAGGACGAGGAACAGGAGCTGCCACGACTTGATGTTGTGGTTTTGGTAGTGGGAGGCGCCGTAGGCGATGAGGCCGCCGACCATCAGCTGGACTCCGGTCATACAGTACCAGAGTGACGTAAGGATGGCTTGTTCTCTTTTGGTGTACTATTTCAAATCAAGTCAGAAAAGCTAGGCCAGGAGGCTCGAGAGGGTAGTCAGTCTTTAGAGTCAAATCACATACCCACATGGAAGTCCTAGGTTCGGGTCAGGATATCAGAACATGATATCATGGTCAGGTGGTAGATGACTTACATGATGATGAAGGCCGGCTGAACGCAGCTCTCAAAGACTCCCAAGAGAAACCGCACCACCATCAGACCTGCAAAGTTTTTGGCGGCGGCAGAGCAGGCGATGACGATGCCCCAGCAAAAGACGTTGGCAGATAGGTATTTCGCGACAGGGAACTTTTGCAGCAACATGTTGGTCGGGTACTCTCCAACTAAGACGCCCATGTACAAAATCGTCCCGAGCCAGCTTGCGGTTTCGTCAATCTGATTTGATCCCATCTCAATGATGCAGAGTTTTAGGTGGTAACTGACCTGAACTGGTTGCTGTGCGTGAGGCCGGCATCCTGTCGGATGTTCATGACGGACGCAAAGCCCAGCGTTCCCTTGTCGAGAGACTGACAAAAGTAGGTCCCGAGCATACAAGCCAGGATACGACGGTTGATAACCCAGAACAACTCTCTGCTGGTTTTCTCATCGACGTGGGTCGCTGTGGTGCTGGTCCATTTGTTGGTCTGGCATATTTGTTAGCCATGGTGGATGATAGTAAAGACGGCCTAGACATACTTCCTTATCTCCCTCCTGATGTTCAACAGGGATATCATCGGAGACAGGCCGGATGGAGCCATCTCCCTGAGTCGAGTTCTGCTTCATTGTTTCTCACGTGGGCCCAGCGAAGTTTTTTTCGTGATAGTGTTCGATAAGTAGACTTAGTGCTGGTCTCGACACCCTCTCTTACCCCGGATTTTCCTTTGGTCGGCGACCCTCCTATATGCGCACAACGTCGACTTTCTGGGGACCCCAACTTCCAGAATTCCGGAGCGGCGGAGTAGGAGAAACTCCTCGAGCTAGAAGGATGGGCCGATGGCGATGTCAGGGATGTTGGAGCGGGCAAAGTGTATTCTCGGACAGACCTCCGGTACCTCCCCCGAGCCCGGAGGCGGGAAGGTGGGCGGATCGTCGCTCGGGGAGTTAGGGCCGTTGGTGTTGCTGAACCCGGGTTTGAAGTAATAACATGGAAAAATCGCGTTGCGCTAAAGCGTCTGATTCCCCCTCGCTTTCGCTTGGGTCAAGAGAGTATTTCCGTTCACATGGTCTGTCGTGGCTTTACGTTGAAGTTTCTTGGATTGGAGGGCTTTCAGTCTCGAAATTCTGAGCCTATCAATGCTCCTACATGTAGGTTGGAGATTATGAGAGGAAATTCTTGGCCGCGGCCATTTCCTGTTCTCTGTCAATTTCGGGATACTGTCTTGTTATTAGTTTGAACTCACTCGACTGTTCTTTCTGTTAACGTCGACAAAGTCAACTGCGTGCTCAGCGTCATGATGTCCCTTAGTAGAAGTGTTCTTGATATGTCGTTTCATACCTAGGCCGGAATGGAGGGGTTACAGCGCGTGTACTCGTACGTGCGGAGATCACAGGACTCAACACAAGGATTCTACCCGCTGTAGCTTGCTTTAGCGGCCCAACAAGACGGCTTGTAAAATGTGACAGGCGTGCGTTCCCCGCACAACTTCCCCACGTCGAAGTTTCGATCCCCTAACTGCTTGAGGTGACGGCACCGTTTTCTCGACTCGGTGGTCAGGCCAGTGACGTTCGTCTTCAAAATGTTTGCTCCTACATATTCTGGATATCGCGCTCAATTAACTTGCGATACGACGTGATGGCATTCGAGGACGACGATGAGGCCATGTCTGGCCGGTCCGGTGGTGAAGAGGATGGCCAGCCGCAGTCCAAGAAGAGGCGCACGAATTCGGGAGCGAACGGCTGCGATACAGACGGTCCTGCGTGAGATGCGCCAACTTCTCTTCCATGTTCGAAGGACTGACAGACATTGCCAGTTGCCAGTCTTGTCGCAAGAAGAAGGCGCGCTGTTCAAGGCGGCAGCCATGTTCGGCCTGTGTACGATACAGTTAGTTCAACTCCTCAACCCGTGAGGCGACCGAACACTGACGTTATCTAGATGTTGAATGTTTATATGACGATAAGAGATCCAAACCAGGACTGCGCACCGGTGCCGTAGAAAGCCTCAGTCAGCGAGTTGGTGAGTTTATGCGACGTGTTCTTGATCGATCGGGATCAGAAACCAGGCATTGGATCACTGACACACGGCTTAGCAACTCTTGAGAATATGTTTCTCGGTCAGGGGGTTCTCTGGCAACAAGTCTTCAACGCCCTGAGCACCGCCACTAACTCCAAAGCCGCCAGCCCGAGCTTATGCGACTCCCCGAATCACTCTCTCAGCGAGACGACTTTGTCTTTGAAAAATACGTTGGCTACTCTTGCCGCTGGCGGAGAGCCAGCCATGGCGACGTTGGCTGCCCGTGCGAAGAACGCAACTAGGCAGAAGGAGGCACCCGAGGGACACACGCGTGCCAAGGACAAACTCGACTCTGTTTTCGATGACAGTTTGCTCCCTGAGGCCGATCTCGTCGACAATCTTGTTGAAGTCTACTTTGCTAACATTCACCCCTGGATACCGATGCTTCACGTCCGTCAGTTTCGCGAGAGAATGCAGGATGCCGAGCAGCGATCACAACTCATCACAATTTTCCATGCCATTGTGTCCCTATGCGCCAGGTTCTCTCAGGATCCCCGCCTGGGATCTTCGGAAGAGAAGAGTCGTTACGCCAAGAGATGTCGTCAGTTTGTCATCTTGAACAGCATGGAATCCTTCTCCGTGGAGAACTTGCAAGCACTGACCATTATTGCTTTCGACACGGTGAGTCTACCGCAAGCACAAAATGACGGATCAAAACCCTAACAGAATCTTGCTAGATTGGCAGTGGCAGAGGGCCATCTGCATGGTCGATTGTCGGCAGCATGACCAGAACGGTGGAGCAATTGCAGCTCAGCGTCGAGGACGAAGACCAGGCACCAGCATTAAAGCATCTGATCAAACGAATGGAGTTCCTCCCTCCGTGCCGCTTCTGGAGTGAGAGGGAGGAACGGCGTCGAGTGTTCTGGAATATCTTCCTCATGGATCGGTTCTGCAGCATTGCCACTGGATGGAACTTTTCTTTGACCAGTGCAGACGTCAAAAGACGCCTGCCGTGCGAAGGGGCTTTATGGGAAGCCGGTAAGCCTCTTGAAACACCGACGCCATATTTTGGTGTTGCAGACCAGTCAAGCGGAGCCAGCGGGACACTGCCGACAGCTCGACCTGAAGAGGCGGCTCAGGATTCGTTGGGAGGCTTTGCATATTGCATCGAGGCCACCGAAAGCCTGAGTCTGGTCACGTCTTTCTTCCTTCAGCAAGCTATTGATGTTTCCAAGCCACATGAGATTCAGGTCTGGCTGATGAAGTTCAAACAGCTTGACTTACGCCTAGTCCAGTGAGTTTCGGCATCAATATATGCTAGTGTGTTTGGCATTATTAACACGAGCTAGGTGGAAGATATTCTTACCCGAGCAGTGGCGCGAGGCATGCGTCCTCAACAGCGATGGCATCATGGATCCCAACTTGACGCTGGCGCACATATCGCACAACTGCGCCGTTGTTCTCCTCCATCAAGGCATCGCATACCCCTTGCCCGAATGGCAAGCCACCGGCATCCGACTGCCCTCCGGCTCGAGTGCGGAAACGTGTCTTGCGGCAGCGACAGAAGTCGCGATTATAGCCGAGAAGTTCCTGCAGGATTCTCAGCACGTCGTCAGTCCGCAGTTCGCCTTCTGCTTCTTCATTTGCGGGCGGATGTTCCTGGCACACTCGATCTACTACAGCGTGGTCCTCCCAGGTGGCTTCGACTCACTGGTGGGTAGTCTGCGGATTATCGCTAAAAGATGGAACGGGCCCGGTGATACATCAGAGAACCTGGCATCGAAGTTTGCTGGAAGACTCGTCCAAGCACGGCAGCGAGGTCACGGCATGCTGGATATCAGACAAGCTGTCTACTCCGACGACAGACACGACGAGTCTTCTCCGTTGTCCGGTAACAACCTCAGAACTCTTGGCGCCCTTCATCCGAGACCGAATGGTCAGGGAACCGGACTCTCTCCGAGACAGGACAACTTTATGGGTGACTTTGACACCTCCGCTATGAACTTCGACCAAGAGGCGTCTCCTGATAGTATCTCCATGGCGTTTCCCCCGCTTCCGCTGGCATTTCACGCTCAGAACTCCAGCAGGGGTCCGACGGCCATGCCATCGCCGGTGCCAGGGAACGTACAGCCTGACTTAGGCGGGTTTGAACATTACGGTATTGGAGATGCGGGTCGCCACAATGTCGTTCACAACCCAGCCGGGGATTTTGAGGATCTCAACGCCTACCTGGACTATTCGTTTTTGCCCAATCAGCGTGTTAGCATGTTCTCAGGGGCAGCTGACAAGGATTGAATATATTCAGCCCCGCGAAGGCTGGAGAATGAAGCACTCTGGTTTCTGTTCATAATGAAAACATCTTTTACATAATTCTTGGGTATAATATCAACCCGTAATGGGTGGACGTCCAGGGCTATCTGTTCTATTCAAGTCTGGAATTATGAGCTTCTCTGTGGTGTCATTCTGTCATTCCTCGTTTATTCATTTTTGCGAGGTAAAGTGTAAATGTATGCTTGGATCTATATCATCTATGCCAACATATCAGCATGTCCTCAAGCACTCCCCTCGAACAAGTTCGGAACCCCCATTTCCAACAGCTTGTTTCCCGCCAGAAGACAGAAGTAATCGGCATAGACCAATCCATGGTCCGCCCACCTCCGCGGCGCGAACTCATAGTTGTTAATCGTCGCCCCGTTGAGAATCGTCTCGGGCTCTCCCTCCATATCCACCTCCCAACCAACCTCCTCCTCAACCACACCATGCTCAACTGTCTCGGTCGTCCTCCGAGATCTGATATACCTGCCCCCGCCGTTCGTATGCCCACTGCAAGCCGCCTTAATCAGCCTGATGGCATGTCCCAAGTACTCAGACTCCTTCCCTAGCGACGTCAACGCCTCATGGATCAAGAGCATCCCGTACGCCGCGATCATCGCGGCGCTGACGTCCGGGGGTTGCGGTGTGTCCTTCGGAGCGGAAAAGTCCCAAGGCGGGATCCCGCTCGGCGGGAGCTCCACGAGGAAGTACTCGGCGCAGGAGACCGCCGTATCGAGAAACGAGACGTCGCGCGTCCAGCCGTACGTCTGCGCGAAGCCCGCCACGGCCCAGGCTTGGCCCCGCGCCCAGGACGACTCGTCCGAGTGGCCCTGGTTGGTGATTTTCTGTTTCGGGAGGCCGGTCGTCTGGTCGAAGTTGACGACGTGGTACGTCGAGGCGTCCTGGCGGACGTGGTGTTTTCGCGTGGTCTCGGCGTGCGCGACGGCTGCGTCGTGCATTTCTCGGTCGCCGAGCTGGGCGGCGGCCCAGAAGATTATGTCGAGGTTCATCATGTTGTCCTGCGCAATTTTGTGAGTATGTAGAGGAGAGGTGGGCGGAAGTCGGGTGGGGGTTTACGTACGATGATGACGAGGAAGTCTTTGCTGGGGTCCAGGAACTTGTACCGTTTTGTCACGCAGACATCCCATGAACGAATCGATTTGACGACTGGATTGTATCTGCCGTACAGCGACTTGGCCGCCGTGATCGCCGTCTGGTACGCCCGGTGGTCGTGGCTCAGCTCCCAGGCCGGCCTGGCCCAGGGGAAGATCATGAAGCCGAGGTCGTGGGTCGTCGTGAGCTGCGCGTTGGGGTGGAGGGCTTCCGTCCACCATTTGCAGGCGAACCTACAAAGAAATGATCAGCTCAGCGGGTTTTGGCGTAACAAGATAACGAAGCTCACTCCAGGTGCAAATCATGCGGTTCATCTCTGGGAGACCACCCCGTGTGACGCAGTAGATGGGAATACTTGCGCCGCCTCTCTAGCAAGAGATACAGACACCCCGGAAAGAAACCAGACGTCCAGAAATCCAGCTCGCGGTAGACGTACTTCGTGCCGCCTGGCTTGGTGTATTCCGGAAACAGAGTTGGAGGCCATGGCTGTGAAGTAGGTCAACTGTCAGATCTTCGAATCAGTCTGAGAACGGAGGTTCGTACCAAAGAGAAGCCTTGCTGAGCGACACCCCATATCTTGGCTGTCGCTTGAGGTGCGAAGAGAGTCGAGGCCAGAGATCTCTTGTCTCCGTTTACTGCAAGACCAGCCGGGGTTCCTGTCTGCTCGCACGAGACTTTGCTGCGCTTCTGCATTTTTAGCTTGTCAGAGATGCGTATGATGAGCTCCGCTGTGGGATCTTACCAAACGCAGGCCATCGCAGCCCGATTTCTCGTGGCCTCTCTTGACACCATTGGTGACGACTTCTTCGCCGGTTTCGACGGCTTCGGGCGCCATGATTCCCGGGCTCAAGGTATCAGCAGTACGCAGACACGGCCTGTAAAGACAAGCCCCTTAAAGAATAAGTCTCGAATAAAACATGTAAGTCGAAGTTCTCATTCTTTCTGAGGTAAGTCGGTCAAGTAGCTGTCCCAACAGCAACCGAAGACTTAGTCACGACGACTCTCTTCGGCGCGACTTGCCTCATCCTGCTCGGCAGAAGCTGGCCGACGATCCCGTGTCTGGGGCGGCAAAGCTTTCGGGCCGTCGAAATACATTTCGCGTCATCCAGTTAGGTGGTAGGTTGGATGATGGTGTGTGGTTTGTATTGCCGGGGAGAGCTCCGGCACTTGCTCCGGCTCCGACCGGGCGTGATCGCGCTTCCATTTCGAAGGGCGCGTTCTTCAAAACAGATCCCTCGCGTTAAGACCTCCCGAACTAAGTCTCAATGTCATCATCTTGATGCAGTCTTTGATAATCGCTGGTGTGGCATTCCTCTGGGTCGGATTGCGAGTGTCAAAAGCTTGACAAACGTTCTGATGGAGAACTTCTTGCAAACGTTTGTGGGCCTCAATATGCCCCCAAATTCTAAGTGAAAGTCCCTTATTAAGTTTCATTATTGTATCGTTATTCGCAGTCATTTAATAGAAAATCAGACAATGAATATTCCATCCCGTAAGATTATCTCCATAACATGCTTAGCAAGACAACAAAAGCACCTTTGTCTGCCCAATTTCCACACCACTCAAGGAGATGTTTTCTTCAACAGTCCCCAGATTCTCCGCAGCCCAGACATCCCTCACCTTGAACCCACCAGGGCACTCGTCTTCTAGTCGGATGCCATCCAACGGCACTTCAATATCAGTCGTTCCGTTCCCGTAATTCAACGCCAGAACAACGTGCCGATACTTCCCGACCTCGACCGGACCAGCCCAAATCTGCACCCGCCCCTCGGTCGACAATTCCGGCAGATACCTCACAGCCTCGCCCCTCGCGTCCTGCGAAACCGCAATGATCTCCTCGTTGAGCAGGATCCGCAGCGACGACTCCCGGATCCTCGTCACATCTGCCCCTATAACAAGCGGCGACTTCAACGCCGCCCAGAACGAAAAGTGCGTCTCCTCCTCCGCCACGCTCATGTCCCCGACCCCGACCTCGAGCATGTCCATATCCGCCCACGACTTTCGTCTTGCGTCCTGGAACGGCGAGATCTCCCGCATCTTGCGTATCATCGTCAGCACGCTGACGCCCGCGTACCCCGTGTTCAGACAGTACGCCGTCCCGCACACGCCCGGCTTGTCCTCGGCAAAGGAGGCGTGGATGTCGCCCGCCACGCGGTACGAGCCCGCGCCGACGAGGTCGGCCCAGTACCAGGGGAACTGGTGGCCCCACTGGCAGAGCGAGTAGAAGACGTCGCGGCCGGCGGCGCGGAGGGCGGCGGACATGGCGCCGAAGCGCTCCTGCTGGGTGTGCGTGCCGGCGTGGAAGCCGCCGCAGTTGTCGTACTTGAGGTAGTCGACGCCCCAGGCGGCGTAGGTCGCGGCGTCGAGGTCTTCGTGGCCGTAGCTGCCCGGGGCGAAGCCGCAGGTGTAGATGCCGGAATCGCTTTTGGTTTGAAGTGTGAGTTTCTCACTGCGTGCTCTTGGGGTTTTGATGGAGAGGGAGGGAGGAAGGCAGATAGGCGGCTTACCTGTAGACCCCGACCTTGAGGCCCATATCGTGGATGTGTTGGACGAGGGCCGGGCCGCCGGAGGGGAAGCGCGTGGCGTTGAACTGTTGGCGGCCGTCTGGGCCGCGCTCGTTGGCTTGCCAGCCCTCGTCCATGACGAGGTAGGTGTAGCCTGCTTTCGCGAGGCCCGTATCCACAAGGGCTTTGGCTGTGGTTTCGATGATGGATTGGTTTATGTTTGCCTTGAAGGTGTTCCATGAGTTCCAACCTGGCCTGGAAGTCAGTACAACACCGCCTTTCTCATCAGGTCATGTTACTTGGCCATACCCATCTGCGGCTTCGAAGCCGTCCCGCCACCAACTCCCATGACCGGAACGACGGCGGAGACGAGGAACAAGAGTAACGCGAGCATGTTGTTGCTGAGCAGAGGGGTAGACGCATGCTCAACACCCAAGTGCCGAGGGGCATTTTCTCAGTAAATATCCTCTTCATTGGGTATCAATCGAGCTCGAAAATCAATAGTTTGTATTCTGCGAAGAAGGTCTCCTGAAAGCTACCCGGATACTCCTCCGATGCGGGCTTTCCCGATCCGCCGATGATCTGCGGGGAAGGTCGGGGTAGACATGCACCCCGCACCTCCGGAACGACTATCGGACTTCGGCGCCGGGCCGGTGAACATTGGCCCGGCGCTTCCTGCCCTTCACTACGCTCAAATCCCTCACTGCTTAGTAAACTGTGTATGGAATAAGCAAGAACCTCAACGTAAAGAGTTCTTGATTCAGCTGTCTTGCAATAAAGGAAGCAGAATTCCGTCTCCTTCAATCAAAACGACAGTAAACTGTGCCAAGTCGTTTCAGCAACTTCAGAATGAGACTGCCCAGCATCTTGGGCGCGCTTGTCTTCGTGTCTCTGGTCGCCTCGGACCCGTTCGATCGGAAACCCCTCTCCTACGCACCAAAGCCGGACGGCACGTACGTGCCGCCGAAGGCACCGGGAGTAACCACGCTCTGGGACTTTGTCAAGTCCAGAAGCGACTTGACCGAGCTGGCGACAGTCCTAAACGGTTCCGCAGGTATGTGCCAATCACCTCAACTCCCGCGGTCGCAAATGTTAAGCAGGCCACGCACAGGTTTCACCGAGGCGTTCGACACCGCTCCGACGTGGGACTTCACCTTCTTCGCCCCCTCCAACGACGCCTTCACGAAGCACACGGGCCAATACTTCAACACCTTCACGGCGACGCCCAAGGGGAAGTGGTGGCTCGGGAACCTCGTGCAGCACCACTACGTGCCCAACACGCAGCTCGACACGAGCCTTTTCAACGAGACCGCGACGCGGATCCAGACGGGGTCGTACTTGTACGTCGGCACGCGGGTCAAGGACGGGAAATTGTGGCTGAACGACGTCGCGACTGTCACGGAGGGGAACTTGAGAGTCACCAAGGTATGTTGGCCCGGCTTGAACGTTGGTTATGTAGGTATGCCGCTGACGAAGGGAAAGGGCGTCGTGCACATCATCGACCGCATCTTGGATCCCTCCGCGCAGGTCTTCGAAGCCGACCGACCCAAGGCCGGTCAAAAGTTCATCGCCGGGAGCTGTTCAGATACTTCCCTGCCATACTGCTAAGAATGGGACGGTGGAAGTGTCGGCATGGAAAACCGAGGGATGCAGGGGATCGCAAGAGGGCTATGAACTTCGTTAGCAGGCCGAGATAAGATGATCGACAATTCTCCGACATGGCAGATGCGGCGCAGGAGGTTGAACTGGGCCGTAAGTGATTCGCTCCATCGGGACTGTCGTACTTGTCTCAGCGTGCGTTCCGATATCCGTCTTTTCGGGTATCCCTGTCGTGACTCGTGGTTCTGGTGCCCTTAGTCGCGTCCACCGCCCCCCATCGAGCCCTCCTTGAGTAAGATTCGCGTCAGGCCACCTCAACAAGCAGCAAGCATTCAGCTTCTCGTCCGCCCTGATGGTCTAGCGGTATGATTCTCCCTTAGGGTTGTCTTCACGATAATTCATTCTGGGAGAGGTCCCAGGTTCGATCCCTGGTTAGGGCCCATTCCTTTTTGCAGATTTGAAGAATGTGTGTGTGGTGGCGGTGAGGGTTGAGGTGGGGCCATTTTTGCTACCTGTGACTCTCACGGCCAGCGAAACCAGCCTGCCTGCAATCTTTGTATTAGCAATTACATGTCATCTCTAGTAGCTAGAAGCAGGATATCATAACAGGCAGGCTCAATGAACGAAGCAAAGCCGTATTTCCGGTGTTCCACGGTTGTGCGGTTTGTTGTGTGAGAATGGGCCGTGAAGCTGCTTAGTCATCTCACCAATGGAAGAAATACTGACTGACCATCGGATGAAAACAGATCGAAACGAGTTACCGCTTCAGCAATCAGCAGTAGATCTCGGTAGCGAGCCATGGAACTGGACGAGCTGGAACAGACACGGTCCAGATTCGATAAGTGGTTGATGATGTGAATGCAAAGCTGTCTGCACACGGCATTGACTTGCCGGGGAGATGAGGCTCGCGCACTCGTTTCTCTCGATCTCATGAATCGAACACACTCACACACACACACACAGGACGGGAACGGAACGGAAGCGGGAACGCAAGATGCGCGAAACGACGCAGGGCCTGAAGGCACGCGTCAACGGCTGTGCATTTTATGCCACTTGGTTTGCTGCATCAATTACTGAGATGGCAGATGGGGAAGCCGTATCCGCACTACAAACAACTCGAGTCGCGTGGAGGAGCAAGAAGCGAGGTTGATGAGTGACAGGTCTGGGCGTCCAAACAACGCAGCCTGGAAAACAGCCGATGGGGAAGAGGTCAAAGACCCCTCGTGAGGCTCTGATCCTTCAGCGGCACAGCAGACCGATGAGAAATGAAGAATAGGTGAGGCAACGCGGGAGAGAGAGAATTCCACCGACTGACTGATTTGGGCATAAAAGGAGGGCCTGAGATGGCGCTAGCGGCCTTGATCCCTGATGTCGTTCCCGAGCGCGACCGCAGTCCACTGGACCTTTTTTTGGTCGGCCATCTCGGGGCACACCTTGTTCAGAGTAAGGTAGTGGGGAAAAGCGGCTGTGGCAGGGGAGCCAAGAAGATGGAAATTGGACGTTGAGCAATGAGCGGGCGGTAATGTCGTGCCACCGGCGCTGAAGAAAGGCGAGACCGTTGGTTTAGCTCGTGCGATGAGGGGCAGTGTCGACTGTCAATTAACATCCTCGTCTCGATTCGTAGAGTTCCTCCGGGGTCTTTCGTACGAGTCGGAAAGAAGACGCGCTAGTAATTAATTTGTTCGGAGGAAGCCGTGGGATGTGAAGATGGAAGCCTGAAAGGTCAGGGGAAAAGCCGGTCGAGATTCGTTTGTGATGGACGCGTGTGTAGAGTAGTATTTGGACGGCGGCTGCAACATGTCTCGTCGTTCAAGTGCCGTAGTGCCGTTCCTTACGACTTTTGTGCATATTCGACGTACTAAGGGTCTTAGGAGGCTCTGCTGGCTCGTCTCCTGTTTCTCTTTTTCGCTCCAGAGGATGATGTAAGTCCAGCTCGCTCGCTTTCCCTTGCGAACCGTCGTCCGCTGAAGTAAGCCCCGGCGTTGCAGACATCTACCATGGCTCGACGTAAAGTGGGAGATATGTATTTCTTCATATGATTTCCGGTGAAGAGGTACATCCAAACGGTAGCCGGGGCCAAGCCAGCCCTAAGCAATTGGGCCAAACGGACGACCACCCCAATCAGGCGACTCTTGGACATTTTGAGCGTCATGATTGGCTATAAACCCGGCATTGGTCGTTGCACGGCCCTGGTTTTGGCGCGTGCCTTGCCGCCTGCATGAGGTCGCCCCTCGGCCCTGAAACACGTCTCGTCAGGGAACCCGAATCATCGTGACCTCCCTTTCCTCTTCCACAGTCCATCTGACTACTATCTCCCTTCTTTTCACACCGTCTTTTGCATACAATTTCTCGACTTCTTCCACACAAGACACAGTGTCGCATTGGTGGGCTGGTCCCCAGCTGTTTCTGGTGCGTTTCTTATTCTCCCATCTGCTGTTCGAGCCACCGAAAAAAGACGAGGGGTCCTGCCGCCGCGCCCCAATCGTGTGTGTACGTACTACGTAACCTACCAAGGCCAGGAACACCGAACGCCCAGTGGCCTAGAGCCCCCCCTGCTCCCTGCTCATCAAGCCACCCTCCCGCCGGTTGTCACCCATTCACACTTCAACAACCACTCACTTTCGTTCTCTCGAATTCCCTACTCGATACGGGTCCTTCTCCTGGCACCAAGAGTCTGGCGATTCTCTCTAGGGTCTCCCTGGCCAGAACAAGTCTCGGACGAGACAGTATTGTGGATACCGGCCGCTCTCCCGTTCCACCGTCCTCCTCAGACTTGCGCTTGCGACTCCTCACTTTTCCTTCCCATTCCTTCAATCCTCCGCGAAGCTGGGTGTCTTTTTTGGAGAACGACCTTTGGCAATCTTCACGTTCTTGTACTATCGTTCAAATCGACCTTATTCACTTCTTTGACGATACCTTCGGTTCGTCGCCTCCCTTCTTTCTATCACCTTTTTTTTTTCTCTTCGTTGCGATCGTCCCCGCTGGGTGGTGGAGGTTCCGTTTCTTTTTGCTGGTCGAAGACAGTCCTTACCACGACAGCGAACCCGACGATACCGCAAGCGAATTTTTAACTCTTCGTAAATCGAAAATCGAAAAACGACAATCAAGACGCCGGCCGTCAGATCTAAACCCGAAAAATCTAAAAACTATTCAAGAGGAGGATTCCGAAAGAGGAGGATCATCTGAACGGTAGAGGAGCAGCCAAGTCTCTCCGGGCGACAACTCTCTCGGGTCTCGGGGCTGCTCAGTTTTCGCGACAGCAATCATGGCGAACAAGGTGCTGATGGCCTACGTCGTGGCCGACATCATCTTCGCCATCACCGGAGCCCTCCTTCTCGGTTACTCCGTCATCAACCAGAACACCCTCAACGATATACCGAAAGAAGGCGTAGAGGCCGCTACGAAATTGCTCACCAAGCAGTTTCCTCTGACCGGTACGTATTGAAAGGACGAGACCGTCTTTTGGTCTGCGGCTTCATGGCATCAGGAAATACTAACACCGACCAGCCGGTATCGCGAATGCCGTCTTCATTTTCGTCACTTTCCTCTTCACCATCCCGGGCATGATCACCCCCGCCCGCGGCTGGCTCAAGCTCTCAGGCTACCTCGTCACCTTCTGCGGCCTCTTCAGTCTCGTCGTCGGTACCTACCTCTGGGTCCTGACCCTCACGACCAAGGCCGATTTTGGCAAGCTCTGGATTGCCGCCGATCCCAGCGTTCAAGAACTAATGCAGACTGCCGTAAGTGGAGCTTCTCAACTCGAGGTTGATGTCGACTAACAACACCAGTTCCAATGCTGCGGATACTTCAACAGCACGTCTCCCGCCTTCATCACCGACGTCCAGTGCCCCAGTCCCGCTGCCGCTGCCCTCCAGCGCGGTTGCGCCACCCCGATCACGAGTTTCGCCAACGTCTTCGTCGACAACATTTTCACCGGCGTGTACGGAATGGTCGCCGTCGACGCCCTCCTCGTCGTGTGTACCGCCATGCTCCTCAAGGACCGCAAGGAGCGCGAACGCTACCGCCACATCGACGAGAAGGCCGGCTACCGTGGATTCTAAGGAAAGGAGGGACTTCCCTGCTTCCCTTTTCGGGGCACAGCCGCAGGCCAAATTGCGTGGCAACCATTTCTCGTCTCTCCTTGGATGACTCCTTTTTTTTGCTGTGGAAAAGGGCGACGGCGTGTCATGCACGCTTGACCCCTCGTTCCTGCTTTTCGGACGGGAAAGAATGAAATCGCCTTACCTCGTCCGCCCGCGGCCATTGATTGGCCATAATGTTGAACACCACCACCTCCTTAGACAATGTGGACAGGCAGAAACAATCAAACCTTCTCCCCCCTTTTTTGGCATCTCCTGAGCCCAGCCCCTCCTCGGCCGAGGTAGGGGCATGGCTACGACTCTTTGACGCATGGAAACGAAATCTGGACGGAGATATTCGAGCGAAAGTCTGTTTTGCGTGACGGCCACCTAGTCTCTCTTCCTCTTTTCCTCTCTCACCAACCTACCTCTCTGGATCCCTTTTTTTGTATGTGTGGACACCATATATAGATTTTTAGTGTTGATTATCTCTGTTCTGTAAAAAGGGGGGAACTTGCCCTGAAAGGAATCTGTTACTTAAATCTTCGTCTGCGTCCCGTATCGTGCCGTGATTGTGAGCGTATGTGTCGTACGTTTTGACGGAAAGTGAGCGAGCCAACAGATCGCAGGTCATCCTCGGGCAGGTTGGGACAGCAGCGGCGCGCATATATACACAATTTCGGTCCATAACCAAATCGATCTTCGTCGTTAAACTGAGCATGTATCTGACGCGGCGCCGTGAACCACGTAAATGGGAGCCAAGAGGCCGATAATCTATCTGCCAAACGCCGGCCCCCAAAGTATCGCCCATCTCATCCAGTTTTACTGCAGGAAAACACACAAAGTAACGTCGATAGAACGCAAACTGCCAAACTGCTCGAAATAGAATATTGTTTGTCTAGGATTAAACACGCCAAGTAAACCCCGGCGGGTTCGCGATGCGTGAATGGACCAATGAGGGGTTCGGATAGGGGAGGTTTGAGATAAAACACCGCTCATCTGGCTGGTCTCTCCCCCGCATTAAACAAAGTGCGGGAGATAGACGAGAGGCGGCGATTTCGGGTAGACGACGTTGCAGTGGGGGGCGAGAGTGCTTTCTTTGGGATTTAATATCTATCTAGCTTGGCTTAGGCTTTGCGATGATGTGCGTGGTTCTTTTTGGAATGACGAGAATGAACTGAAGTCTGGCGGATCGGTTTGCTACAGCATCGTTCTGGTTCACCGGGCATGAGACACCCCGGCGGATATCAAGATCATGTTCAACCCCTCGCTTCAGAGGGTAAGTCCACTCCACTGGGGTTTTCCTCCATTCCCGTCCACGATGTACTCGAGGTAGACATCGTTGAACATTTATGGCGGCATTTCTGTACCTCTTTCCGTGGAGAGGTATATGTCTGTCCGACGCGCCATTTCATCCGATGTATGCCTACGTGCCTATATGCACGACACAACACGAACGATGACGAGTCAGCTGGGACCCCTTTTTTCCCCCTCCGCCACTGCAGTATCTCACTAAGAGAAGCCGTCACGCGTAAACTCTCGTTGTAAGGGCGTTTGTCTTTTGCTGTCTCTTTGCTGGTTTTGGCGAGGACGGTCTATTTTTGTTTGATGTTGGTGTGATATGATCTCGGTGGGTCGTTAGTCATTCGAAGCACTGGGATACTTCAGCTTGGTGATTCGTAGATTTGAGGGGTTGATGTGCTGTGCCCTCGAGAGATGCAATTATGGCCGTGACGGCGCACTCCATCTTGCTGCAAGAAAGCAAAGGCTGCACATGGTCGATAAATCCAGTTCCAACGTCTGTGTATGAGTGCCCATTGCACACAAACTCGACCAGGTCGATAACGACAATGAACATTACAAATACCGTCACTCAGCGAATCTGGTTCGGTACTTGGATGACGTGGCTTTGTAGACTACAACGGATCAACTCTCGCCACGTGGAAGCCGCGAAGAAGGAAGATGGCACGAGGACTTTGCGGGCAGGATGTTTTTTCGCTGTGATGGCCACCGCAGAGACGATGGGGGATACATTTATGTAAAGGTGAGATGCCAAAGCTCGCGCGGAAACGGAAACAGTACTCGTACGTATAAGCTCAGCAAGTAAGGTACCTTAGTCCGGGACGGAGGCAAGCTCTGTACCGCTGTCCCAAGCCCCGTCGAATCTTGTGGCCCGGGCCGGAGGCGGCGGGTGTGGAGCCGTCGACGCCGGACAACGCCGCAGCCGGGGGCCGCTGTGGAACCCTGTGCGGAGGGCCCGCGTTGTGCGGCGCCGCATGGCGCATTCCGGGACGGGGGGAACCACCGGGGGTATGTGGTCGGACAGTTTCCCCGGATGCCGACAACGACATAGGCTTCGAGATACGATTTCATAGCCAGCAGGAAGAGGGACTTCGTTGGCTTGCCGTCTGTTCTGACCAACACCGTTCATTCCGATCACGACTTCCACCTCCTGTTTCTCAGGGGGTGATTAGTTTCGCGGCTAAGATCACACTCATGTTCCCCAAGCTCAAAGTGGCTGGCCGGCTACACTCTACGCTTTTCGACAACAGAGAGACCTGAGAACGGAGATACATCCAGACGCTGGACCGGATCATCGGTCTCGACAAGTCTTGCCCGTATCCAGAAATACCATACGAAGATCACTTAGCAGGTTCGAAACATTGGGAGCTAGCATATCTCCCCGTGTACCTTAAGTGGCAGTATAAATCACGAAGTCCTTACTCCAACGATCACGCAAACTAGTCGTGGTGTGTATATTCCCGGGTGGCCAACATAGTTGTGATGACTCTCCTTCAAAACAACGTCTCCTCCGTCGACACTAAACCGTCTTCTCCAGCCGTAGTCCGATCAGCCGGGGGCCACGTTCAGGCAGGCTGTAGACGTGTGAACTGCTTTCCGACGCCTCCCGTCCCGACTGGTCGCTCAGCCTGAAAACTTGGCCAAGTCGAGGATCCGACTGAGCAATCAACTTCAAGTGCTTATAAGACTTCACAAGGCGCCCGCCGAATACATCAAAGCGTACGATGCAACTCTACCATACACCCACACACAAAACTCACCGAAGACGCGACAATGTGTTCATCAACGAGGCATATCGAACAATAATAAATATCATACTTTCGAAGAATCCCGTCCCTCCCAAAGGGGGATCTGAGGAACCGTGGGAAGGGGTCTTGGTCTGCGATCCCAAGATGCAACAAAGCACCCTACCCACACGCTGTATATCTAGATGAAACATCCACCATGACAACCACCTGCTTCAACCCCTAAATGCCTAAATGCTTTCAATCCCACCCCTCCTTTTCCGCGCCTCAAAACACCACAATGTACATACACACAAGCATTACACATTGAGGCGGGAGAAAAAAAAGGGGGGGAGAATAAGGGGGTGCGGTGGGAAGACACGCGTTCGCATGAAAGTGGGCACACATAGATTCTGATGCTCTGGGGAAGTTGAGAAGGAAAATGAAGAACCCAAGAAAAAAGGTGTTGAATAAAGACATGAAAATCCGATATACTCATACAGGCGAATCGTCACTAGGCCGGCCGCCCCGCCCCCTATCATGCTGCTGGGCCCCGTCGCCGCCGCCGCCGCCGTTCTCCCCCCTCCGCCCTCCTTGCGCGCTACCGCTGCTGTCCGGCCTCGGCTCGTCGCGGAACACGGACCAGCTCCCACTACTACTCGGCGGCGCGCCCTCGTCACCGCCGGACCGCCACCACTTGAGCTTCCAGACCCCGCTGAGTGCCTCCTGCAGCGAGGGCTGGCTGCTCTGGCTCTTACGGCGACGGCGGGCCGTGAAGCCCGGGAAGCCCGTTGACTTACGCCGCCTGCGGCCCACGGGCCGGCGTTGTGAGGGGGACTCGCTGCTGGGGCCCGGCTCCGCTGAAGACGATGTTTGGGGCTGTTTTGTGCCGCTTGAGCGGCGGTGGTGGGCGAGAAGGGAGGTGGACTCAGTGATGTCAGGCATGGTACTGGAACGCTTGCGCGAGATGGGCGTGCTTGGTGCATCGCGATCCTCGAGCTCGCCCCAAATTTCGGCTCGTTCCTGCCATCTCCTACCCTTCTTTGGACGGCTGGGTGTAAGGGGCGTGGTCTCGCCGCTGGCCACGTTGAAGGTCGAGTACTGTACGGGGAGAGGGTCGTCTTCTTCGTGAAGGCTGTACAGGTCGTCGCCGCCAAGGAGAGACTCCTCTTCGTCTTCCGTGTCTTCCACGAGACCCAGGCCGGGAGCCAGCGACGACTGGCCGACGCCGGGAGTATGTTGTTCGTCGCTGAGGCGCCAGGACAGCGCCAGAACGCCTGATAGTAAAATGACGGTTCCGAGCGCGATAAGCCCGCCGCGTAGAGGATTAATAAGGTCGGTCTGCTTGAAGTAAATCAAGCCGTCCAGGATCGCAATGATGTTATATATGCAGAAGACCATTGGATATAGGACCGACGTCGAGACAAGCTTAAGGCCGCGGTGAAGGTAGTACAGCTGGCTCAGGGCCAGCGTGACCAACGCGAGAACCAGGACCCAGGCCTGCCAGTGAACGAACTGGTTATCGCCGTCGGCGATGGTCTTGATAATGAGCTCGACTGCGGACTTGGCGACCAGCAGCGAGTGCGCGGACACTATGCCGCTTATACAACCGTATGACAGCCCGCGGACGAACCGGAAGCGCGAGTTGGTCGACAGGCTCGTGAAGGCGTCGAGGCAGTCGATGGTGATGGCGATGGAGAGGACCAGCAGGGCCTGCATGATCATCCATATCACGAAGGGCCGGCGGCCGAGTAGATCGAGGAGTTCGCGGAGGTTATGGGCTGGCGCGGGAATTGCGCCGAAGACGGCGATGAGTACGGCGCCGGCGCATACGAGCAGGGTGCCCCAGAGCGACCACCTCGTGAAGGGCTCGTTGAGGATGAGGGTGGCGCATATCGAGTTGAAGACGAGGCCCGAGGCCTGCAGGGTCGAGAGGACGGGGAGAGGGAGGGTCGAGATCTGGACGGAGCTACCGAGCAGGTTGGCGGCGATGAACATTCCCATGCCCAGCTGCCACCTGCCCCTCCGGTACGGCGGCCTGCGGATCTCATGCGGGCCCTTTTCGTCTTCGAGGATGTGCGATTTTCGTTGTAGCGTCAGGCCCAGGCTCTGAACGCTGGTCGAGAGTAGACCTACGATGATTCCGATCTGCGAAGAGTCGAGGACAAGTGTTAGCCGGGGGATCTCGTGAGCATCTAAGACAATCGGGCTGTGAGGGCGAGGAAGCATACGGCGATTGTCCCCCCGGGGGAGATGCCGCCAAGGGACCCCATTGCGCGCGCGAGCAGCTAGCTGTCGGTCATCTGGCGGCGGCGGTTGAGAAGGAAGATGTCGCGGCGGGCCCTCGGTGTCATGGATTGATTTCGTTCGTCCCTTGTTATCCGCGCAACCGTCGTATCCCTCCCTTCTACCCTAGCGCTTTTTTGCCGTGTGTCGTGTCTCTCCTCGAGCCCGAGTCGGACCGGATGAAATCGCAATCGGGGGAGCGTGGGCGGTCGGACGTTTTATTTTGACGGATGCAAGAACCCTTACGGAAGCGCCTCTAGTGAACCAAAAAAAACGTTGCTGTACGCAGTAGTGGTGTTGAAGGCTGTCTAGCGAAAGCCCGCCACTTGATCTACCACCTCCCAGGTGATGATCTTTAGCCGCCAAGGCCAGAGAGCTTGCAGCAGACTGGACGGGACGTAGGTAATCGGGGAGGAGGATTCGCTCTGGGTTGCTTCGGTTTCGATCGACACAGCGTTGCTCGAGGGAGGAGGCAGAGGAGGAAGAGGAGGAGGGAAAAAGGGCCGCGACGGGCGAGTTGAAGATGTTTGCGTGTACAGGTTAATGCGTGTTATAAAATACGGAGTTTCCACATGGCCGGAGTCGGTGAACACTTTGTTAGATCATGGCTCAGCTCGAAACACCAGACAGACGTACGTTGACATGCACGACGCAATGGCCGCTGGCTGTCCCGTCGGTCTGGCCCAAATTGGGTTGCTTGTTGCCGGCTTTGCTGGCGAAAATGGGGGGGAGGAGGCACCCACATCTCTCTCTCCAGTGAGGAGCCCAAGGTCAGGGAGGTACATGGCCCTGCTGCAAGCACGCAGAAACGCAGTAAGGGACCCTCCCGGCTACTGCCTCTGGGCTGCATTGATTCAGTAGTGCGGTACCTTACTCGTGTGGCGGTGCGAGCGTGAGACGGGCCGGCGCCAGCTGAATTGCAACTGTCACATTATCTTATCGCATTCTCGGTGCTGCGTGATGTCACTGGCCCAGAAAGACACCCAAAAAGTGAGGCTGGAGCAGCATCAAACGCACGGGTCATCTGTGGCAGTCCATGTGGGGCACCACGACCGGCCCGCATTTACTGGAGCAGCCGGCGCAGCCAGTCAGAGCCGCGCCTGCGTGTGGCTGATGGAGTCGAGGTACCCGTCGACTGGCCTTGGTGCTGCTGCTTGGAGCTGGCCCGAACGTCCGTCCAGTGATGCTTGCTACTGGCGGCTTGGTAGGTAGTAGCATCGACACTCGTCAACAACAGCTTCATTCAACCACGAACCCTTTCCCATAACGCCCACCCCTCCCATCCGCCCTAACCCCCACCGGGCTGTCAGGCTTCATCTCGACCTCTCCGCGATCCCGAATTCGCATCCTCCACCCTCGTTTTCGATATCTTAATTGAACAAAGTCGCTCAATCAAACCGCCCAGCATGTCGCACGCACCGTTGACCGACGACCAAGTAAGGGCGCCCCCCCCCCCCCCCTCGCGGCCTCACGAATCCCACCCTGTTCCTCCCTCGTCCCGCTCGCCGACACGTAGGATGCGATCGATGCTGATACAATGGGTGTTCCCCTTTCAAACAGGTCGGTCAGGAGCTCCGCAAGATGACGGCCTTCATCAAGCAGGAGGCGATGGAGAAGGCCCGCGAGATCGAGATCAAGGCCAACGAGGAGTTCGCAATCGAAAAGTCCAAGCTCGTCCGCCAGGAGACGGACGCCATCGACACCCAGTACGAGAAGAAGTTCAAGCAGGCCCAGATGTCGCTGCAGATCACCCGCTCCACCGTCACCAACAAGACCCGTCTCAAGGTCCTCGGCGCCCGCCAGGAGCTCCTCGACGACATCTTCGAGGCCGCCCGCAAGAAGCTCGCCGACGGCACAAAGGACAAGGCCAAGTACCAGGCCGTCCTCAAGGGCCTCGTCCTCGAGGGCCTCTACGCCCTCAACGAGCCCGAGGTCCAGATCCGCGCCCGCAAGGCCGATTTCGACATCGTCAAGAAGGCCATCGACGAGGCCGTCAAGGACTACAAGAAGGAGCTCGGCAAGGACGCCGCCGCCAAGATTGACGAGTCGGACCCCTTGCCCGCGGAGAGGTACGTTCGCCACGGAACCGTATGCACATTGCTGGAGATATGGACTAACGCGAGCACACAGCGCCGGAGGTGTCTTCATCATTGGTGGAAAGGGAAAGATTGAGATCAACAACACATTCGAAGAGCGTCTAAACCTTCTCCAAGACACCTCTTTGCCGGCCGTTAGAGAGACCCTGTTTGGAAAGAACCCCAACCGCAGATTCACCGACTAAACAGACACCCCTTTCCGAACTGCACCCTGCAAAACCTCCCTCAGCCTCGTCCCGGGCTGGAAAGTAACCATCGCTGCATGAAGGACTCCCCGACGCCGCCCTGTTTGAAACCCTTCCTGTGGTGTATCTTAGATGCTGTATGGTCGTGGCCAACCGTTGGCGTATTAGGTAGTTGTCATTATACTACAAGTGCATTATCATTAACCAATCGCTGTTACAAAGTCCTCGCTAGCATCTGAAGACGACTCTTCCTTAATGGCGTCCGCCTCCGGCTTGCTTTTCCTGGCGTGCACGAACTTCTTCATAAAGTCTTGCTGTCTTCTCTTCTTAGCTGACGACGGCCCCTGGTCACCGAAAATGCTCTGCGTAGGGGGAGGCCGGGTGCGCACAGAGTACGACAGACGTTGTCCGACCCATTCCAGCACGCTCTTCGCTTCTGTGCGCGTGAGGTTGGCCGCGCCGGTATCATTAATACCACGCCAGATGGCCTTGAGACGTCTCGCGAGGTCGTCAACCTCGGCGTTGAACGTCTTCTGGTGTTCCTTGTCATCCTCATCCGGAACGAACGAGCCGTCGTCCACGGCCATATCGAGAAGCAAGACCTGCGCCTTGAGGTCGGCGTAGTCGGTCTTGTTGTTAATCTGGAAGTCGCTGTCTTTCACCCGGGCAAGGATAAGACGGACAGACATGGCATGATCCGGGTGTCGGCTGGCTAGTGCGGCATCCCGGAGGAAGAACGCAATTGCCAGACGTCTCCGTAGCTCATGCAATTTTGGCGTGGTGACGGGCATGCACATCAACGGGAGTATCCGCAGTGAGGCCTGAGCGAATCCATGATAGAGAGACGAGCAGATCTCAGTGCACTGGGCAAAGTCAGCGTGGAGCATGCTCGACGAGGGCACATAACTTACGTATTCGTTCCATACGCCGTCTTGAATTCTGTTCACCAAAGCCGCCAACGCCTGCTGATGTATCATGAGCACGTCCGGGTTCTCGATGACCATCTTGTCGGCTGCCATGCGCAGCAGCATCTTGATTGCGTAAGTGATCGCATCTTGTTGAAGATACTCAGCAACCTTGCGAAGCCATTTCAAACATGACAGAAGCGGCTTCCAGTCTCGATCGTCGTATATATCTCGTATCTCGCGAACTGGTTTCAGCGTATCATCTCCTACATGATCCGCAGCGCCCAGTTGGCGAAAGACCTCGGCGAGCTGTTGAGGAGTAACGAGGCGCCTGACCTGTTTCTTATTCGCGGCAGCAAGTTTGCTATACTCCTCACGCAGAACGCCGATCTTTTCAACGTTCGACATGTTCAGGATCCATAGGTACAACTCGTCGGGCAATGCTATGGAAGCCGCAAGACGAGTAGGCATGCCGGACAGGAAATGTCTGTCTCGTGTTCCGGCTTTTTCAAGGAATGACCAGGCCTCTTTTGCAGTCTTCTTGGGAAAAGACCGAGGAGGCGGCGCATCTCCCTCCTTAAAGAAGTACCACCTGGTCTGCGGGCCAGAAGTGTTTGTTCGCTCCATGGCCCTCATCGCCTTATCTGCATCCTCTTCGGACTTGACACCGGCGATCTCGATCAATTTGTGGCGGGACTTGCTGGGGTTGGCATCCGCCATCACCTCGTCCTTCAGCTCGGCCTGTTGAGGTCTCTTGGGACTGTCAAATTTGACGTCGTGCCTCTTCGAGTGCGCATCCAGGGTCTTGAAGTCGAACTTGTGTTTGGGCTGTATGGTGAGCGGCGACTTGTGAACCATCATCGCCCTCCTTTTCGCCCTTGGAGTGCTGCATGGATCCGCTCCTTGTCTCTTCGGGCCCAGCATATTGAGACTCGGGAGAGAACAGTCAGAGAAGTCGCCTTCGTCGTCTTCCTCATCCGAGCCTTTGATAACCGCATCTCTGGTCAAAACAGAACGCTTCCTCGCTGTTGACGGGGATGCAGGCATGCTGGGGGAGCTGGCCAGGTCGGGTAAAGACGGCAAACTGCTGGGCGTGTCATCGCCCTTCGCCTGCCCCTTCTGTCCTCGCTTGGGCGTGTCGAGTAGTCTGTTCTTCTTCAAGGCAGATAAAGAGGGAAGATCAGTGGCCAGAGCCTCGGGCGGACTCTCGCTCGCAGGCTTCTTCCCACCAGTGAATAGAAGTCGCACTGGCGTCGTCTCCTCTGCTTCGGGGGATTGACCTCGGCCTGGTGTCGAGGGCGCGGAGCTGAATCGAACTTTCCGTGCTGAGCCAGTGGCACGCCCAGAAGGTGGCATATTTAAACCGACAAAAGCACCGTTAGGCGCCTTTGTTCTCGACCCTTTGCTACCAGGTGTACGGAGCAAACGCTTCTGCGCAGAGGAAGGTAGACTTGGAGTAGTACGCAGGTCGGACAATGAGGTTGACGTAGTAAAGCTAGTTGCTGCTACTGCAGCCAGCTGTGGAGGCGATGCGCTTAATCCATCGAGATTCTGGGTGTTTGGTTTCGAGTTCTCGTCGTGTACCATGGATGACCGTTTCCTCTTGCCTCGCGGTTGCCTTGGCGATGGCGCCTTCACATCTCGGACGTGGGTAGTCAGTGCACCACCATTGGGAAGTTCGACACCTGGAGTAGACGACGGGGATGCGGATGATCCGGTAGAGCCTCCGCCAGCTTGCGAAGAGCTTAGAGGAGCTTGAGCCTTCTTCGCAGCTGATCGAGCTGCAAAGAAACTTCTGATATCTCGGTTGCCGTTTGCGCCGCCAGCCTGACCGCTGCCGCCCTTTGTGCGAGCCATGGTGAAGCCCAGCCTCGCTTCAAAGATGAGATTGCTGACGGAGAAATTCTACAGACCTCAGGGCTTCTAGAGTAGAATGATGTTGTTTGTACCGTTGATGAGGCTTGTCACATGATTGCGCATGAAGTCGGTGCAGATGGATTGAACGTTGAAGTCTCGACGCGTCGCAGGGGCCGTTTTCGCGTCGGTCGCCGCCAAATGGCGAACAACTTTAGTGGAGAAACACTTAAGCCATCATCACCGCTTATCTTATCATCGCTTATGTCATCATCACTATGGCTTTTGGGCACCTTTTGGCTCCCATGGGAATTGGAATTTGGATTTGGGTTTCCCAGGACGACCGGCGGCTGAATAATTATAGGAAAATATGGCATTGCGTAGATGTCTAAAAAGAAATATCTCCGTGAGTTTACTCAGGTCTCGGTGACAGTCAACCAACGCTTCAACGCTTAGTGAGATGCGACATGGATACTGATCCATGGCTTTTGCAACATTTCTCGAATGAACGACGGCGGTGTTCGTACCTGACACCTGCCAGCAGGCATCAAGCCGTTCAGAAAGCGAATACTACTGGTTTAAACATATCAACCTGCTATATGTCAGAGAATAGGGATTTTCGAGGTACGACGATGACTCGACTCGGTATTGTCGGACGAACAACCGTTCGGCGTCCGCGGCGGCGGAGTCGTTCGGCAACCGACACAGAGCCTGTGGAATCACGGGTGACCGGCCCAAAATAACGGAGGCGTGACACCAAAGGATTGATCATCACCGCGCAGAGACGACGGCACGAACGGGCAGCGGACTGCTCAGCTGTCCACACCCCCGGTTTCCCAGCATGCGGCCAAGAGAGAGGTCCGACGATCGCCCGCCAGTGACCGCGAACCGTTGGAGACCGGTGCTCTTGAAATTTTCGGTTTCAGGGGTCGGACAGGAGTCCGGAATAGGGGACATCGTGGTCGTAATGGTTGCGTTGCATGACAGAGTGGTTTGGAAGTTCCTGGGCGGCTGAAGGAGGTATGGATGGCCTGGGAGTTTGTCCAGTTCTCGTCCCTTATTTCCGCCGTGTCTTGCACATCACGAAGAAAGGTCAAGGCCTGCAGACTGGTAGGCCCAGACTTGCCCAGACGCTTGGGACAATCTCAGAGCCACGCCGAGTTTGTCATCAGACCGAATTTTGCTCAAGGCACCCTGCCTCAGAAGCGGCGGTCCGGGTCAGAGATGCATCGATGAACCTGTTCCCAACACCTTGGACCGCGATCAAAGCGATCATCCCAGAAGGTTAAATCGACCCGTGTGTCCCGTGTGAGCCTCCCGACCTCCCCTTCTTCGATGGGGTTTGGGAGTGGCTTGCTTCAAAAGCAGCGTGGGTTACCCGGCAAAAGGCCACATCCTGTCTTCCCGCCTCCCATCTGGTGTCCTCCGTCTGTTTTCTAGCGGAAGGCCTTGAATTGCACTTTCGGATTGGATGAGACAAACCTGACGAGCGTGGGGAATGTGAATGTGAGCGTTGGTTCATGTCGATTCCGCGTTCGAGCCTGAGTCGTACGAAATCCTTGGGGCAAATTCTGTGTAACAAGACGCGACTGGAAAAATTCCAGAGAAGCCGCCAGAGCAATCAGGAAAAAGCCACCTGTCAGAAGAGTGTTTGGCGGCTGCGGTGCCGCATGCCGCGTCGTACCCGAGGGATCTCGTGGGAAAAATACGCCGGGCGGCGCGTGAGGGTCTCACGTCCTCCCACTCCTCCTCATCCTCGGCGTCGAATGGGCTCCGTCCGCGCCGTGGATGCACACCGCAGTCTCGCAGAGCAGATGCAGGAAAAGCTGGCTGGATACCCTGCAAAGGCCCGCCGTGCCCCGTCCTACCTCCGAATGGACATGTCGTAAGCCCCGAATGCCCGACTGCACATCCCTCCACTATTCCTCCATATTCCAATTGCGATGTAGTAGCACGCTGATTGCTAGTGGGCGCCCCTTGACTCTTGAGGCTTGACGACGTCTCTGGTGGACCCTCCCTGGCGAACTGGCTCGACTGACCTGGCCAGGCCGGTGATTGATGAGCAGAGGGGAGATTGAAGCTAACCAGCTGGCAATGCTCGCCGGCCCGGGTTTGGTATGGCGTAGGGGGCAGTTACGGCGCAGCGCCCTCGATCCGTATCTGTAGTGATTCGAGAACAAGAACGGACAAGGGTCAATCCTAGATGCTGTCAACGGTTGCCGAGGTCGACAACGTCGACATTGACTGGTTGCGGTGAACAGCTCATTCAAGCATTACTTTTCAACCGTCGCAAAGCAGAACACGGACAGATCTGTGAGCGGAAGACATCCCGGAAGATGCTGCCAAGGACAGGCGCGACAGAAGGTTGGCTGCCGAGCTGCGCTGAGTGATTGACTGAGAGTGCTGCGTAGCGGCTATCGATTTGTTTCAAGCTGCCCTTTCCCGTGTGGCTAGGACGGTTAGGTGGAGGGGCGATCTGGATAGGATCGCCTCATCGCGGGTCTCTTTCCCAGCCGCCTCTGAAGTTCAGAACTGCACAGCATAGATCGCCAGCAGAGGAAGCAGGAGTTGTGTGCGTATGTGTGTGACTTTTTGTGTCGGTTATGCTGTTATGCTGCAGCCTCACATCCTGCTCCTGTTGTTGGTCTTCAGGCGATTCCTCCCATGGTGTCGGTAAAAGGTCTGGCCGTGAGCATTGTTTCTGTAACTTGACAAGCAAGACCAGAGAAAGCTTGGCTCAGGTGAAGGAGCAGGCCTGCTCGAGCGCGCATCTCAATCCCGCATGCCTAACAGGCCCTAGTGCCACAGGCGCAAAGATTCGCGATCCGTCCGGGCGCCGTGGGTACGATGCAACCCTGAGACCCGTTCTCTCTCCGACTTGGAACCGTCAAGGGCCAACGGGATGGAGCCTTGTCGCTTGCTATTTGGGGTTCAATCGAATTTCAAGAAACGGAGCGGATACCACAGCGAGAAGTCGCGAGAGGCTGGAGTTGGCCATCTGGCATCGGCCATCGGTGGCTCATCAAATGGCGCCGGGTTTCGTGCTCCGCCAGTCATCAAGTCAAGACTCGGGGGCCCCTCTGGGAGGACCTTTTCGCAAATGCCCCCGGCTGACACATGCTTGGCCAATTTCTCGTCCTGGGGGGCCAAGTATGGGTCGTTATTTTAACAGCAACTTCTCCAATGTTTGGCGAGCAGCGAGGGCCTGCGTGTGCGCCTGCGTCTGCGTCTGGAACCCATTCCCCCCCTAAAGAGGACCATGTTGGGACGGGACGAGATGACGACGATTGCTTCCCGTAATAACACGGTCGAGTGCTCAGCCTCAGAGCAGCAGCACGCAGCAGCACGACGCACGAGACAGACTGTGGGCGGTACTGTGACGCAGCAGTTGGGTTTGGGTGATCCCGGGCCTCTTGCTCGCCGTGAGGTTCACGTTGCCGCCTGGAGACTGGGATTCACCTGGTTGCGACGAAGAATGAAGACTGGACCCCGTCCGAAAGGGCCAGTCGGCGACATCGTAGCTCGTCAAGATCTGCCCTCGGTAGGCGGTATCCGTAGTGTGGCCAGCTCACGGTTGGGTCGGTCAGTAAGCAGTGGCTGGGCTGTGCTGGTGCAACCATCCGTCCATCCATCCATCCATGCTCTTGTGCCCTCCGTGCCTCAACTCAACTCAACTTTCCCACGCTCCCGTCCGCTCTTCCGCCAACGCACCGGTGCAAGCGGCGACCGGAAAGGGAGAAGGATGGTAGACGATGGTTGTGCTGTGCAGACACGGAAGCCGGCGCATGGAAACGCAGGGCAGTGGTGCAGACGGATTCGGACGCAGGCGATTTGAAGGTGCGGCTTGATTGCGCTTAGTAGAGACATGCGATATGCAGTTCTCTCCAGGTCCAAGTATTGATATTTTTGGGGACGACTTGAATTGGGTTATGTCGGATCCGGATCGGCTGGAACAGCGGACTAGCGTGAAGTTTTTGGTGGCCATTCGTCATTTTCTCTTCGCAGGAAGTAGTCTGTACTTGGAGAGACAATTCGTCCCTATTAGCTTGCCGCGACGGGAGGATGGAGGATGGCCGAAGGCAGAGGTGAGAGTGCTGACGGGAGGTGAGCGATGGTCAAACACTTGTTGGAATTGGGGCAGCGTGAGGAAGGAGTTGCTGACATATAGGTAGGTAGTGCTTGATTCCATGTAGGCAGTCTACCTACCTGCGGTGCTCAGGTGGCTTGGGGTGTTGCTTGACGATGCGCCGGACTGTGCTCATTGGTTTGGCAGTAAGACCTTGCATTGCAAGCTCGGGGCTACGGCCACGGCCACGGTCCGCTCAGTGCTGGTTTGGTCTGGTGTTTTGCTTGATGCTGGTGAGCCATCGACCATCATCAGGAACCTACTACCAGAGCTGTAGGAAGGAAGGTAGGTACTTGATAGTAATCGCAAAGCAGCTTGGAAGTTCGGTTCTTGGGTAGCCTGTATGTACTAGGTAGGTAAAAGAAGGTAATTGGCAAGGATGCTTCTTACGGCGAGATGAAGAAGCCGGAGATTCGATAACATTGATTGGCTGTTGCGGCTGGACTTGGAATGAGGATGGGAATGGCAACTGGGGTGCAGAGACGAAGTACCCATGTACCTGCCTACCTACGCAGTACCTACCTAGAGATATGTACAACACGGCATCTGTGCCTTGGACCAGTTTGCTTTTCTTGTTTCTCATGCACAAGTCATCTATCAAGTGACTGCGACATTTTGAAAAGTAAGGGATCTGTCCCTGAGTCTAGGGAAGAAGGGTAGGTCGCATTTGATATGGGAATCTCTATGGTATATCAAGGTATTATATCGAAAAAAGAGGATACAATAATCGATGCCAAGGGACACGAGCAAACGATACAGGCCCCTGCTCCGTAGATGCCTCTGGCGCTGCTGTCGCCGTGGTAGCGAAAATGAGGATGGTAAGGTAACAGTTGATTACCAATTGTCAACATCAGTCATCATCCTTCCTGCATCCACCTCTGACCGCAAGTGTCCGTACAGAGGCTAGAGGTAGAGGATAGAGGCTAGAGAGGTATGGGAGGTTCGCAGCGACCGTAAGTCCGGGCTAGCGCCCCGGGTGCTGCAGGCAAATGCCAGGGTTGACGATGGTTTTAAGACGGGCACGTCGTGCTTGTCATTGTCAAGCAAGAGATCAAATCGTTCGCGGGCATCATCTGGTTGGAACTAAAGGGATGGATTGGGCGCTACTGTCTGCCAGTGCAAGTGCAGTCACCATCTCAGTGTGCGGCATGCCTCCTTCCCCCCTAAAAGTCGGACGTGGAGTCTTACTAGTCCCCGGGCCATCCGGGCGGGCGGCCACTCGCTTCTGACATTTGCCTTGTAGCTCCGATGTATCCACGGCGACATTCTTGCAGGAGTGGATATGCGTTCGGTGATGAGAGTGACATGCATAGACTTTGAGACTTTTTTCTGCCAGATCCATCTTCCTCCGTCCCATCTGGAAATGTTGCCTTCCGGAGAGGCAGGAACGCTGCTGCTATTGCAACCACCATCACAACTCCTCACTTCCATGCTAATACCTTACCAACACAATATGCCGTCGCGTTTCCAGCAATCCCGTCACGCCTTTTTTTGAGGTGCATCTACAACGCTACATCTGCAGGAAGAAAGAAAGAAGAAAAAGTGTGAAAGAGGTGGGACTCGCCCGGCCGACACGGCATTGCGGCCACGACGAGCACGCGCTTCGGCTGCACTTGGTCCCCAGTCTTTGCTTCTCTCTTGCAGCGTACTCTGTACCTTACTCTGTACTCTGCAGACTGCAGACTGCACTCCATCCATCCACCATCCTGTTCCTCCTCCTCTTCTGTCGCTGTCGGCCTCGCCCTTCTCACTCGCCCGACTTCTTGGTCTTGGTTCCTCCCTTTCTCCATCCTTTTCATCCTCCCTCCACCATCATTACTGACCCTCCCTACGAACACTGTCTCTCCGGGAGTAATTATAATCGCACTTGCTCATAAGACTTCTCCTCTGTTCCATTGACAACGTGCGCGGTGGAACATCACAGACAGCCTCACAGACTGGGGGAAGAGAAGGAGAAAAAGCATCAGCATCAGCAAAACCAATCTGCAGAAAAGGTACCTACTCTGCGGCATCCAAGGGCCGTACCTGGTTAGGGTGTTTCTGCTACAGTCCCCCACCACCAACGGTAGGGCGAGATACTTCCGCAGCCACGGTTTCCCGAAGTACTGCGCAGTACCTCACCTCATCTGCTATGGTGGTGTCAGCTCTCCGCTACGTACCGCACATCCCGTCTCCGCCGCCCCCCCTTGCGCCGTGCCTTAAGACGTGAGATGTCCCTTGGTACATGACATGAATTGGTACTTTATCCAGACTTGAATAACTTTCTCCCCCTCCTCACCCCCTTCCTAAGTTCCTCCCCTCCCAAAGCACCGCCCAGCCGCTGCACACTGCACGATTTCATCCAGGCACTGAGAAGGGCGAACTTGGTCCTGACCTGAGGTACATGACCCCCCCCCCCCAGCAGCAAGCGCAGCACCCAGCACCAAGCACCCAGTAAGATACCCAGCACACCCCCTCTCAGCGGGTTTTTGGGTAACGCTGTCATCAAACACCGCGACAGCGCCTCCCGGCCCCTTCTGCCAAAATAATTCTTGCCCCCTTCCGACCACTCCCTTCCAATTCTGCTACTCCCTCGCACGAACCACGCTCTCTTCAACCAACACCACGACCCAACCACGCACCGAAAACCACGACGACGTTACGCTGAACATCCACGGTCGCTCGTTTCCCTCTCACCGTCTCGAAAACAACTTCACCCGTCTTTAATCCGACTTTCGACTTGCATTCCGCCGACCCTGGACTGCGACGCCATTCGAGAGTCCCCTCCCCATCCGGGACCTTAGTTGCGGCCGGTCGAGGCCATCCTGGAGGACAACTCGGGTTGATCGGGCTGAATGCCCGCACAAGTCGAGACCACGATGGCGCCTGCCAACAACGAGCCGGGACCGCCGCCGCCCGATCCCGAGAATCCAACCCTGCGGACGAGATGGGCCACTCGCAAAATGACGATCAAGAGCAGCAGCAAGAAGAGGATGTCCCTGATGAATCGCGCCACACACAAGAAGAAGAACAGCGAAAAGAGCCGGAGTTCAGGGGGCGGCGACTCGCTACAAACCGACCACACCGCCGCAACTGAACAGGACCAAGGCCATGGAGGCAGGAAACTCTTCTTCAACCTGCCCCTGCCCGACGAGTACAAGGACGAGGAGGGCCATCCGAAACAGCACTTCACGAGGAACAAGATCCGAACCGCAAAGTACACGCCGCTAAGCTTCGTCCCCAAGAACTTATGGTTCCAATTCCAAAATATTGCCAACGTGTTTTTCCTTTTTCTCGTTGTCCTGGTGGTAAGTCGGATTCGAGACTCCCCTCTCAATGTTTGCTGAACCAATTTCCAACTCGACGTAGTTCTTCCCCATCTTTGGTGGTGAAAATCCGGGTTTGAGTGCCGTTCCTTTGATCTTCATCGTCACCGTTACGGCCATAAAGGACGCCATTGAAGATTATCGCCGAACCGCTCTCGATATCGAACTCAACAACGCCCCCGTCCACCGTCTGCGGGGATGGGACAACGTCAATGTCGAGGAGGACAACATTTCGCTATGGAGACGCATCAAGAAGGCCAACTCTCGTTTCTTTGGTATGATCTGGCATACAATCGAGAGCATCTGGTCCAAGAAGGCGAGGCAGGAGATGGCAAGACGGAAATCTCCGCAAGCATCGGCTGACGCGCCACGACCATCGATCGAAACACACGTACCCCGTGATTCCTACAACTCACCTCGATCCGCCCGCGATTCGTTCGTTTCCGCCAGGGAGGACATTCAGATGACGCCAGTCCCCTCTCCCTTACCCCGACAAAACCTTGAGGTGCCAAAAGAGGAGGACCACGCTCGGGCGAGGGAGATGCTGCAACGCAAAGGTGACGTTTTGAACCGCAACCTGCCGACCAACGGCGATGCTCGGTTCCACAAAGATCATTGGAAGGACTTGAGAGTCGGTGATTTTGTGCGCATTTACAACGACGACGAATTACCTGCCGACATTATCGTTCTATCGACTTCCGACCCAGATGGAGCATGTTACGTGGAGACGAAAAACCTCGATGGTGAGACCAACCTCAAAGTTCGACAGGCCCTCCGCTGCGGCAAGTCGCTCAAGCACGCGAGGGATTGTGAACGGGCCCAATTCTGGATTGAGAGCGAGCCCCCGCAACCCAACCTTTACAAGTACAACGGTGCCATCCGATGGCATCAGAGCTTTGATGGTGAACCTGAACCCGAGCTCATGACCGAGCCCATCACGATTGACAACATGCTTCTCCGAGGCTGCAACTTGAGAAACACGGAGTGGGCTTTGGGCGTTGTCGTGTTCACCGGACACGACACTAAGATCATGATCAACTCGGGTATTACGCCTAGTAAGCGCCCCAGGATCGCCCGAGAGATGAACTTTAACGTCATCTGCAACTTCGGAATTTTGTTCCTTCTGTGTCTCTTGTCGGCCATCATCAACGGTGCCGCGTGGGCCAAGACAGATGCGTCCCTGTTCTTCTTCGACTTTGGGTCCATTGGTGGCAGCGCAGCCATGTCAGGCTTCATCACCTTCTTCGCCGCCATCATCGTCTTCCAGAACTTGATTCCCATCGCTCTCTACATCACACTCGAAATCGTGCGACTACTCCAGGCCATCTTTATCTACAGCGATATCGAGATGTACTACGAGAAACTTGACCAACCATGCATCCCGAAATCGTGGAACATCTCCGACGATGTCGGCCAGATTGAATACATCTTCTCCGACAAAACCGGCACGCTCACTCAGAACGTAATGGAGTTCAAAAAGGCTACCATCAACGGACAGCCGTACGGAGAGGCCTATACCGAGGCTCAGGCAGGAATGCAAAAGCGATTGGGTGTAGATGTTGAGAAGCAGGCTGCTGAAGCCAGAGCTGAGATCGCAGACGCGAAAGTTCGGGCCGTTGAGGGTCTCAGGAACTTGCACGACAACCCGTACTTGCACGAAGACGACGTCACTTTCATCGCTCCCGACTACGTTTCTGACTTGGCAGGCGATTCGGGCGAGGAGCAACAGGCCGCCAATGAGCACTTCATGCTCTGTCTCGCATTGTGTCACACCGTCATCGCCGAAAAGGTCCCAGGCTCGCCGCCGAAGATGATTTTCAAGGCCCAGTCTCCCGACGAGGCGGCTCTCGTGGCCACAGCTCGCGACATGGGCTTCACCGTGCTTGGCAGCACTTCCGAGGGAATCAACCTCAACGTCATGGGTGTTGACCGTCACTACCCCATTTTGAACACCATCGAGTTCAACTCAAGCAGAAAACGCATGAGTGCCATTGTTCGGATGCCTGATGATCGCATTCTGCTCATCTGCAAGGGCGCCGACAGCATCATCTATTCACGCCTCAAGCGTGGAGAGCAATCAGAGCTTCGCAAGATTACTGCGGAGCACCTCGAAATGTTCGCTCGTGAGGGTCTGCGAACACTGTGTATCGCGCAGCGCGAGCTCACCGAAGATCAATACCGCAACTGGCAGAAGGAGTACAACGCCGCAGCCTCTGCTTTGGAGAACCGAGAGGAGAAGATGGAGGAAGTTGCCGATCAGCTCGAACGCGAACTGACCCTGCTCGGAGGTACCGCTATCGAAGACAGATTGCAAGACGGTGTCCCGGATACCATTGCCTTGCTTGGAGATGCGGGTATCAAGCTTTGGGTTCTCACGGGCGACAAGGTTGAGACCGCCATCAACATTGGTTTCTCTTGTAACCTGCTGAACAACGACATGGAGCTCATCCACCTGAAAGTTGAAGAGGACGAGACTGGCGAGATTCCGGACCACGAGTTCCTCGGCAGACTTGAGCAAGAGCTTGACAAGCACCTTGAGGCTTTCGGAATGAAGGGCGACGATGACGATCTGGCAAGGGCCAAGAAGAACCACGAACCCCCTGACGCAACTCATGGCCTCGTCATTGACGGTTTCACCTTGAAGTGGGTGCTTCACGATGCTTTGAAGCAGAAGTTCCTGCTCCTTTGCAAGCAGTGCAGATCAGTCCTGTGCTGTCGTGTCAGTCCAGCCCAGAAGGCCGCCGTCGTGGCCATGGTGAAGCACGGCCTCAACGTTATGACGCTATCCATCGGTGATGGTGCCAACGACGTCGCCATGATTCAAGAGGCAGACGTCGGTGTCGGTATTGCTGGTGAGGAGGGCCGTCAAGCCGTCATGTCGTCTGATTACGCCATTGCCCAATTCCGATACCTCCAGCGTTTGGTTCTCGTTCACGGTCGATGGTCATATCGCCGTCTCGGAGAGACTGTTGCCAACTTCTTCTACAAAAACGTGGTGTGGGTGTTTGGTATCTTCTGGTACCAGATTTACTGCGACTTCGACGTCACCTACATTTACGAGTACACCTACATCCTGCTGTTCAACTTGCTTTTTACCTCAGTTCCGGTCGTCATTATGGGTGTGTTGGATCAGGACGTTTCAGACAAGGTTTCTTTGGCAGTCCCGCAGCTGTACCGCCGCGGCATTGAGCGTCTGGAATGGACGCAGACCAAGTTTTGGTAAGTTGGATCCCAGAAGCGGCTTTCGATTACGTTGCTAACCGGCTTGTAGGCTGTACATGCTTGACGGTGTCTACCAATCTGTCATGGTCTTTTACATTCCATACCTCACGGTCGTAGGCACCAGCTTCGTCACCAAGAACGGCTTGAACATCGAAGACAGGACTCGGCTCGGCGCCTACATTGCACACCCCGCCGTCATCACGATCAACGCCTACACCATCATGAACACATACCGCTGGGACTGGGTTATGATTCTGATCGTTGTCCTCAGTGACCTGATGATTTTCATCGTCACTGGTATCTACACGTCCATGGAATCGTCGGTGTTCTTCTACCAAGCCGCCCCCCAGATCTACGCCCAGGCGTCTTTCTGGGCAGTCTTCTTCATTGTTCCGGTCATCTGCCTGTTCCCCCGATTCGCAATCAAGGCGATCCAGAAGGTCTACTTCCCTTACGACGTGGATATTATCCGCGAGCAAGAACGCCAGGGCAAGTTTTCCCGCCTCACACAGGGCGACGACGCTACGGTTGTTGGAGAAGAGGCGGCGAGCAAGACACCGTCGAACTCGTCAGTCAGCTCGCGCAAGGGTAAGCACATACACTACGCCAGTGTGGATGAAGACAGAAGGCCAATCTATCCACCTTCAGTTGCGACACACACGACGCACAACCCGCGCAGCCAAAACGGCAGCGACGGAACCAACTATACGGGCCATCGCCATTCAATGGACATGATGCAAACCCAGTCCCTCGATATGACGCCGCCGATGCGTCCCTCCTTCGATCGACCACGTCCCTCATACGACCGAGCCCGACCGTCCTACGACCGAATGCGAGCATCGATGGATCGCACCCGGGCCAGTTTCGAGGCAAGCAGCGACTTCACGTCGGCCGCTCGTCTGTCTCGCATCGAGTCCAGCCAGTCATACAGCGACCGTTTCCATCCGCGACGGCTAAGAGGCTTGTCGTTGACCAAGAGCAACAACATTTAGACAACCGTCGACCTCCCCGACCGAACCGAGCCGGCTCTCCTTGTACTATATCCATCATGCCCTTTCGCCAGGGTCTTGTTTCTTTGCTGTTTTGTTGATATCCCCCGATGCATCACGATCTGCATGAGCGATCTACGACGTTCCCACCCTCGCGTACCAGCGACACCCGATGCTTTCACCCACACCCGGCCTCTGCTTTCCCATTCGTCTTGCGATTTCTTTCATCGAACTTTTTGTTTTCTTTTCATCGTATAGGTGTTTCCTATTGCGACGGCGTTCAAAGGAGGGGGAAAGGAAAGGAAGACTCGGATGGCATTTTTTTGTACGAGTTTGGTGTGCATCCTAGATTTGAGAGGGGGCGCCAGGAACCAGTCCATTTGAAGGTGCTGGAATCTCTCCTTAGGCCGGCCCCAGGGCGTTCTGTCTGGGCGGGCCAAAGAAAGTGACGGCGCGCAGCTCATAGCAGTCGACGCCTTTTTGTACATACGCACGCAAACAGAAGGAGGGGAAAAAGGAGCGAAAACGCATAATCAGGTGATAGCTTGGAGATGAGTAGGAGAGAGACAGAAGCCAACTGCTGTTTGAACCGCCAAAACAGGATATCTACAAAGTACCATTAGTTCCAAGTGAAATGTGAATCATTCGTAGACCCAGCAAGGATGATGTTGATGTGCTCCAGTAACTTGGTTGGGGGCAAGTCTTTCGTTTCGCCAAACCCTTCGAGGCAAGATACCTTACGAAGATGGTTCCTTCCCCGCACAAGCACGCAGGTACGATCGTTGCCTTGATGTGATATCCCTGCAGTGACAAACCATGGCCCCTGCCAATTCAATTCCGTTGTAGTGGGGGCCCTGGACCGGGGTAAGCTCCCCCGAGCTCTGCTGATTTCTGGCCAGGAACATCCGACACGGCGTTCTCGGGGTTTGCTTGCACAGCAACTTTTGTGGTGCGAACTACACGCGACCAACCTCAACACCACCAACTCAAGCTGCCATCACGATCTTTCTGTTGACGCTCGCTACAACAACCGATTGAGCCGACGCCGAAGCCAGCATGGACGCCCAACTTTGGGACGATGTCGCCGAGAGGCTCAACTCGTACATCGACGCCATCCCGTACGTTATTGCTAGTGTCCGCCGAATGGCGCCACTTCTTCCTACTCGAGAACTCTGCGCTGACTCAAAACGTCTCTCGCAGGTCCGGTTTCCCCCAATATGCTGTCGCCGCGGTCGCAATCGCCTTTAGCATATGGTTACTGCTCCTGACTCGATCCTCGAACGAAGACAAGGCCATAGCCTACACCGTCCCGCCGCCCAGGATCCCCGAGAAATACTCCATCGTCGAGGAGACCAAGGTGAAGGTACGACCACTATAAGAGCCTGCTCTGACTTGACCACAGCTGACAGCTTTGGGATGTATAGGTCGCCAGCACAACCGCAATCCAATGCTACGCCCCTGCCACGGGCCAGTTTCTTGCGTTCGTCAACCCCTCCACGCCCGCCTCGATCGACCGAGCCGTCAACGCCGCCCACGCAGCCCAGGCCAAATGGAAGCATACATCTTTCCGCGAGCGCCGCCAAGTGCTGCGATCCATGCTCAAGCACGTCCTCGATAACCAGGAAGCGATCTGTCGCGCCGCCTGCCTCGACTCCGGGAAGACCATGGTCGACGCTCAGCTGGGTGAGATCCTAGTCACCGTTGAGAAGCTCACATGGACCCTGAAGCACGGCGAGAAGGCTCTCACGCCTGAGCGGAGACCCACGAACTTGCTGATGGCATATAAGCGCAACGAGGTACGGTACGAGCCGCTCGGTGTCGTCGGCGCACTTGTCAGCTGGAACTACCCGTTCCATAACCTCATCGGGCCCATCATCTCGAGCATCTTTGCTGGCAACGGTGTGATTGTCAAGGTCTCCGAGCAGACTGCTTGGAGCTCTCAGTACTTTACCAGCATTGCGAGAGGTGCGCTTATTGCCCATGGACATGACCCCGCTTTGATCCAGTCGGTCGTTTGCTGGCCCAACATCGCGGATCACATTACGTCCCACCCCAGGATCTCGCATATCACCTTCATCGGCTCCCGTCCTGTGTGCCTCAAGGTTGCGGCTGCAGCCGCGAAGACGCTCACGCCCATGATAGCAGAGCTCGGCGGTAAAGATCCGTCTATTCTTCTCGATTCTGCTGCCAAGGACCTGAAGCGCATCGTTGAGATCCTCATGCGTGGAACCTTCCAAGCCTCGGGACAGAACTGCATCGGTATTGAACGCATCATCGCAACCCCGAAGCTCTACAGAGAGCTCGTCGCTATACTCGCTCCCAAAGTCCAAGCCCTCCGCCTTGGTCCCAAGGCCGACGTCGGTGCCATGATCTCCGACGCCTCCTTCGACCGTCTGGAATCCCTGGTCGACAAGGCCGTCAAGCAGGGCGCCCGCCTACTCGCCGGCGGCAGCCGACACATCCACCCAGAACATCCCAAGGGCCACTACTTCACCCCAACACTTCTGGTCGACGTCACCCCGGACATGGAAATTGCCAAGGAGGAGTGCTTCGGTCCCGTCATGACCATCATGCGCGCCCCCGGCCCCGACGCAGACTCTGTTCTCTCCGTCGCCAATGCCCCAGATTTCGGCCTCGGCGCTTCCGTCTTTGGCGGGGATAATGACCCCGTCCTGCACGCTGTCGTCGACGGCCTGAAGACCGGCATGGTTGCCGTCAACGACTTCGGCGCGACCTACGCAGTCCAGCTCCCCTTCGGTGGTGTCGGCGGTTCAGGCTACGGACGGTTCGCCGGCGAGGAGGGCCTCAGGGGCCTCTGCAACGCAAAGAGCATCTGCGCTGATCGTCTCGGCTGGGCCGGCGTCCGTACCGCAATCCCACCCCCTGTCAAGTATCCCGTCCCCGACCAGGAGCGGAGCTGGAGGTTCACGAGGGGCGTCGTCGGCGTTGGATACGGTCTCGGAGTCGGCGGCAAAATCAAGGGCCTTTTCGATATTATGAAGAACGCCTGAAGTCATACAAGTATTATAGATCAAAACCAGGGGGGAAGACTTTGCACGTATAAACTTTAATACCAAAGGAATAGCCGGAGTTCAGCATAGATACCTGGTAATCAAAAGCCTTTTCTTTTTCCGATTTCAGTCAGTATGTTTCTCTTCGTCGTGTGTGGCTCTTCTGGATGATGTCTGTCATTGCTCAATCTGTAACTCACCACTTGGCCCGAAAAGTCGACGAGGGTGACCGCTCGACGCACTTTTTGAAGTCCACGAGCTTTGCTTGGAGCGAGGAATTCGACTTTGATGGCACAGCATCGGCCGGACAACATCTTCCAGCAGACCAAGATGCTTACCGCTCGAGTTGCCCCAAGATATTCTCAAATCCGTAGGGCGACATCGCGAATCGTTCCTTGTTATACAAGTTCTCTCACCATGACACAACTGTAAAGATCGAACACATCACGAAGCCGTCGATCGGTACAGTCAGAGAATTACCATTAAATTGACGCAGAACCTATTCCTTTCGGCATTTCGAAATCCACCAAAGCATTCCGAATAGTCTACGGCAACTTGCATCAAGTATTCTCAAATCTTCTCAGCCCCAAGGCAGAACCAACCTCGATGATGAAAGGAGAGAAATGCAACCATCCAATTACCATGCATCACCACCGCCGCCGCCGCCGCCAGTGTTGCCCCAGTTGGTGGCCTGTACAGGCTCATTGGTGTCGTTGCCAGCGTTGTTGCCAGCGTCGTCGCCAGAAGGAGCGCCCCAGCCTCCAGCGTCACCACCGTCGCCACCATCGCCTCCGTCACCGCCCCAGTCCTCACCGCCGCCCATGCCGCCCAAGTGGGCAATGCCGGCCTCCTCAGGGTCAAAATCCGACTCGGTCTCAAACTTGAGATTCTCCAAGCCCTTGCCAGTGGGCATGAAGGGCTGGAGGAACTCGGGAACCTCCTGCTTAGTCTCCATCAGCGTGCGAACCAGGACACTGGCGATGGGCTCATCACGCTCAGTGTAGAAAGACGTCGCGACACCACGCTGGCCCATGCGACCGGTGCGACCTGAAAACAATGTCAGTAGGGAACAGAAATATTAGACGAGATGATCCTACCGATGCGGTGAGTGTACTCCTCAATGCCGCCGTGGTCCATGCTGGGCAGGTCGTAGTTGATGACGTGCTTCACGTTCTTCACGTCAATGCCGCGGGCGCTGATGCCAGTGGCGATGAGGATAGGGGCCTTGCCGGCACGGAAAGCGCGCATGGAAGCCTCACGCTCCAGCTGAGTGCGGTCGCTGTGCATAGAGGTGCAGGGAAAGCCCATGTTGAAGAGGAAGTCATCCAACTCATCAGCAGTGCGCTTGCTGTTCACGAAGATGATGGTACGGCAAGCAGCGAGGGAGTTGATCTGCTCCTTGAGCATGCTCTTCTTGTCGAAGGGCGCAACCTCGAAGACGCGCTGGAGGATGTTCGTGTGGGTGCTGCCAATGCGACCGACATTGATACGAACACTGGACAGAGCCAGGTGCTCCTTGGCAAGATCACGAAGCGCCTTGGGGAAGGTCGCGGAGAAGAGCATGTACTTGATGTTGCCTTCTTGCTGCTCTGGGGAGATGTCAGAGATGCATCGCGACGAGAATAGAAACATGGAACTTACCACCACCGGTCATGATGACGTCGAACTCCTCACGCCAGTCGTCGTGAAGCATCTCGTCGGCCTCGTCGAAGACCATGTAGCGCAGACGCTTGAGAGAAAGAACATCCGGGCGCTGGATGAAGTCGCAGAGACGACCAGGAGACGCGATAAGAATGTCACAGCCCTTTCCGAGCTGCTGAATCTGGTCGCGAATAGGTCCACCGCCGTAAGCGACACAAGGGCGAAGCATGGTTCGGTAGCAGAACTTGCGAGCCTCGTTGAAGATCTGGATGGCCAGCTCACGGGTGGGGCAAACGACAACAACCAGAGGCTCTGCACGGACTGACTGCTCACCAAGCTGGACCTTGGAAGGGTTGGGACGGGGAGCCGCCAACTTCTTCGCCTTTCCCATGAGCTTGTTCAGGATGGGAATCAAATAGGCAGCGGTCTTGCCAGATCCTAGAAAGAGCTCTGGTTAGCCTGGGATGGATTGTCTGGGAAGTTGACTTACCAGTCTGCGCAACAGCAACAACATCAAGCCCCATGTGAATGGCGGGAATGGTGTACTTCTGGATCGGAGTGGGGGCATCGTACCCAGCCAGCTCGATGTTCTCACGCATAACAGGATGAAGACCGGCATCCTTGTAAGAGTCGATGTGCTTGACGTGGATGTCGCCCTGCTGAGTGACTTTGACCTCAGAGATGCTGTGACTGTCAGGTTAAGGTCGCAAATAATGTGTGAAGGGGTCAACTTACGCCGTGAAGTCCAGGCCAGTGTGGTCGCGACGGTCCTTGGGGTCACCGAAGAGCATGAACTCAAGCTCCTCGTGCTTAGGACCAACTTCGCCATACTCATCGTCCCACTCGTAGATGGCGGCGTTGCCCTCCCAGTTAGTAGACTCGATGGGGCCCTGCTGAGCGAGCTCATCGTAGTTGTAATCGAGCGGCTTCGACCACTCCTCGCCGTTGACGTCGACAGGAATAGCCTTCTGGCCACTGTCCGAGGAAGGCAGAGCGGCCTGCATCTCGGAAACGTTGTCGAAAGCCATCGTGAATGATGAGCTGGACAAAGTGTTAGGAGCGAAGGAAAAGACAGGCTGCTGCGAATGTTCTTACCAGAGATGTTTGGCAAAACCAACGAGGTCTATCAAGCGCAGAGAGAACTGTTCTGGCAGAGATAGAGATGTCTGATCTGAAGAACGTCAAGACTATGCGAAATCTTGAAGCTTGAAGAAGTAGCGTTGGTCAGTCGAGGTGGTCAGGCAAGCGAGACCCGGATGATGAAGGTATTTGGAAGGGAAGTTGTGATGGAAGAAGGGGGAGGGATTCTCGAGTGTGAAAAAGATCGGAGAGAAAAACCGGTCAGTCTGGTTTTGGGAGGAAAGAAGGGAAGGAAGAGCAGGACTGAGGAAGTGACCAGATGGAAACAAGAAGAAACCTCACGTGATCTGTAGAGGCTCTTGTTTTCGAGGCGTGCAGTCCAAAAGTGAAAATAACCCGAACGGAAGGGGAATCAGAGGGAAAGCGACGCGGCAGAACTGTGCGTGTGGCTTCCGGAGGAAAGGCGCGGAAGGGATGGTCGAAAACAGGAAGGAGAGTCCGTCGTGAGCAGAGATGGAGGTTGTTTACCCAGGGCACGAATCGAAGATCTCGAGGCGAAGCGGCGCGACAGCAACCTGAAGAGATTTCGGCTTCGGACGTGGAAGGTGGTATGGCGACGATGATGGTGATGGTGATGGTGATGGTGATAAAGGAAGGGATAACTTACCTCTCGTGATGACTCGACGAAGTGTGAAGACCAAGATCTCCTGATGCAGTAACCTCCCGTCTCGAAAGGCTGTGATTTGGAAGGAAGAAGAAGAAGAAGAAGAGGTTTGGGTCTGGGAGTGTGGGAGAGAAATAAGTACGTGTGGGAGGTGGCCCGAGGGTCCTTGGGTCGATTGGCTCGAGGCAGGAAGTTCCTGAGAAATAAGGGAAGGAGAAGGGGAAGCAATTGTAGTCGGGCAGGAAAGGACTGAAAAAAGCACCTCTGGTGGACGAGAGGGCAAGGGCTAAGGTTGACGGCTGCTTCCCAGGCAACGAAGAGATCGTGGGACTAAGACTTGACTGCTCACCCTAAGATATTTGCTGTTATCAGCAGCAGGCACTTTTGTTGTTTAATGACCAAAGTATTGCAACTTAGGGAGCTTTAATATGAATCTGGAAAGCACTCATCGAGAGGACGAGATCGCTGATGTTTTCTGGGAGGTCTGATTATCAGGACGATTTTCTGGAAAAGTTCGGTGAAGCCTTGCTGCATAATGTGTCCCGCCGTCCATGCCTCAGGGTCTCTGCAGGAGAAAGACATGTTAGGTTCTGTTTGACAGCAAAATATTCAGAGACACAGTAGGAAGGCTGCATCATGGTAGACAAAGTAAACCAGACCAACAGATATCCAAAGAAAAAATAGCCTCGCTAGCGAGGGGGTATCATTGATGTGTTCGTCTACATCTATCAAACGCGCGCCGTTTGCCGGCATTTCTCTGAGCTATTGCGTATGCCTTAAGCACCCTTCCCTACATCTTAGCCAGTTGAACATGCGAAAGTCTGACATAATGTCTCGAAGTAGGTAGGGACATCGCATCCAACTACGAAGCAAACTGAGCTTCGGGCACTGGTCAAGAAAGCAAGCCCTATGCCCAGCATGTTCCAAGTTGTCCCTCTCAGTCCTCCCATATTGGGCGGCGCCGAGGCTTGCTGGATCGCTGTGCGGTGAAGGGTACGTCGTCGTTTCAGACGATGGGAACCACACCGTAAGCATCGTTCATATTCATCTTCTGATAATCGCGACGTCCTTCACCACAGGTCGAGGAGGTCCTGAGAATCAACAGCAGAAGTCGGCTCGTACCCATCCATCCCCTCCTTCAAAGCCTGTTCCAGCGCGACCGCAGACCGTCCAGTAGCGCCGCCCTCCTTCTTCGCCTGCTCGATGCCCCGGTTGAACGACTCCAAAAACCTCTTGTGGAAAACGCGCTGCCGGGACTCGCGGTCGTTGTACATCTCCGCGTCCTCGTCCCGCCTCGTCCCGAACAGGTTGAGATACGCAAACGGGTTCGGCGCTCGCGGGATGCGATACATGTTGTCGTAGCCGGCGTTCGGGTTGCTCGGCGCCGCCACCTCCGGCTTCAGCCCGGCCTTCAGGAACCGCGCCAGCACGCCGACCTGCCTCGCGTGCGCCTGCGCGTCCTTGGGCCTCAGCCCCGTCTTGGGCGCGCTGGTCCATCCCGTGCTCGACTTGACGGACCACCCCATCAGCGCGCAGAAGCTGTTCAGCGTCTTGACCCAGCCGCCGGGGCAGCCGACGGTCTCGTCCTCGGCGACGTCGAGGAGCCACTCGAGCACGGAGAGCGAGTCGTTGCTGATCTCGGAGGAGAGGTGCGTCATGCCGGCGCGGATGTACATGATGCACCGCTCGGCGTGGTGCCGTACTTCGGTTTCCGGGAGGGTGCGGAAGAGCTTGAGGAGCTGGCCGCGGACGGGCCCGTTGGCGTCGGAGATGAGGGGGAGGAGTTTGCCGAGGATCGTCGCGGTGCCGACGGGGTTGTTGTCGGCGGCGAGCTGGGAGGTGAGGTGGGCCAGGGCTTCTTTGCGCTGTTTTTCTGATCTCGACGTGGAGGCGAGGGAGAGGTGGTGCTTGAATTGTGTTGCGACGTCAGGGGCTTCTTCTGCGAGGGACTGCACGCCCATGACAATGGACTTGGCCTTGAAGCTGGTGTCTGTAAAGTTGGCAGGCTTGGCCTTGGCCTTTCCGACCTTGAGCTTTGGTTTCTATCTCGAATTATTAGCATGGATTCGGAAACATGATGAGAAGTCTCCGGTGCGGTTCATTCTCATCTCATTCGAGTTGTCTCATACCGCAAAGTCCTTGGCCTTTTGATTCTTCTTCCTCGTACTGGAACCCATGATGACGGTTATGTAGGGTTGATTTATTGAGATACGGTATAATATAAGCAACGACGTAGTAAAGAAATGGTTGACTCTCGAATAGTCCGTCGCCCAGAAAGCTTTTGTGTAATTTACTCTGATTTTTCTTCACATGAGAGAGCAGCATGTCACAGCCATGAGACCCCTGCCAGACGGTAGCCAGAAAATTTTAGCGGTCAGAAACGGCAGAATTTGGTGAGGTGTCGGCGGCCCCACAACGTTGTTGACTCTGTTACCCGGACAGTGAATCCCAGCAGCGGTCAACAGCGCACCGACCGAGCTTGAGCTGATCCGGCCAGCCTTACGGACCAAACACCCGAGCTCTACGGAACCGACACGATACAACGAGTCACACACTCCGTTTCCGACTTCATTCGCCAATTCACGAGTGCTCCCTCCCACACCCTACATCCTACATCCCACCTGACGTACCTGACGAACCCCTCTTTCGTTACCTCACAACAGCCAAACCAAAAAAATGGCCGACCCCGTACCCGTGAGCGACCTCGAGACCCCTCTACCGATGTCGTCATAGCTGACAGTAAGGCGCGCGCGCGCGCCCGACGCAAAAGACCAACGGACCAGACGCGCTCGACGAGACCCTCAGCCGACTCTCCAAGAAACCCGGCGTCAAGGCCGTCGTCATCCTCGACCGAGCCACCGGCGCCATCCTCCGCACGACGGGACAGCTGTCCTTCAACGCCTCGGCGCTGCCGAGCTCCGGGTCCTTCTCGGGCGAGGGCGCGGCCGCGGAACAGCAGCAGAACGGCGAGGGCGGCGAGGGCAGCGAGCAGCCGCAGGGCCTCGAGGACTTCGCGGCGAAGGTGTGGAACTGGGTGAATGCGTCGGGCACGCTGGTGTTGGACCTGGACACAGAGGTACGTACGGGACGATGCGCGGGCGTGGGAAGACTGGCTGCTGCGAGAATCAGGGCAGTGTTGGCTGACGTGTGAGAACAGGACGAGCTGAAGCTGTTGAGGCTACGGACGAAGAAGCAGGAGCTGGTCATCGTGCCGGATCCGAAGTACCTCCTCATCGTGGTCCACGACACACCGCCCGCCTGAAGAGCTCCATCACAGGATCACGAACGACGTGTGTTGGGTGTTCCATGAAACCCCTTATTTCTCTTTGCCCAGGACGAGCAGACCGTGCTTCTCGCATACGCGCGCATCAGCTAGCGGACAGCCGATCCATTGGCTCAACGGGGACGAAATTGAGGGCATTTCCAAGACGCCTACGTGGCAAAAAAGGGGAGAGGGAGACTACTGCCGTAATTTCCGCGCTCGAGCTTCACACACAAGATTGGTGTAGAGCGGCGAGGCGGACGGACGGACGAGGCGGCGCGAACGAATGAATGATACCCTGAAATTACACATTCCCATGACCTTGGCATTGGCATTGCATCCCGGGAACGAAGCCGGTGCCCGCGGCGGCTGATGCTTCCGTATGACGACGGGCCGCTTGCCTCCCTAGCTTAGGTTTTTCGTGTCGCTCGGCAGCGGCATGGATATGAGATAAAATAGAAAGAGTCCAAAGTCAAAAGGCGAGGCCGTGTGAGCCGGGCTCAGAGTGTAAACGAAAAATGGCACACGTTCTTATCCCGAGACATCCTGGGCTGTTCTTTGCTTCGACGCGAACCATCCGTCAAAATTTGATGCGTCCCTTGCCTGCAGCTCGATACTTGGCAGATGATATCTTCACTGAACGCCACCTATGTTCTAGCACCTCAAAAACGTGGCTCGATTTGATGAGCAGCCCGCCGACGGGAAGTGGGTTGTACCAAGCCACCTCCCCCCTGGTTTTAGCTTGGAAGTCTTAAACCAAGTCCCAGGATTAAATTAAAGGTGCTTCACGCCTCTGAGGGCCTGGGTGTCCGACCAGTCGGCAGTCGAAGTTTTGTAACCTCGCCTCGCAAATCTTTCGACACATGGAACATTAGGAAAAATAAGGTGGACTCGGACTTGTCGGGGGCGTGTAGGTATTGCATTGCCAAAGGGAGTCGTTTGGCATTTTCGGACCTCCTTTCGTTTCATGGTATTCTAGCAGAGGTGTTGGCGAGGCTCTTGCCGGGACCTCCGTCGGTCGTGTAAAGTTGCTGTATCGTTTGTTCGTAAAGAGAGATTGTGTCTTGAAAACTCTTTTTTTTTCTGCCCCTAGAAGAGTAGCCTCTTTGTGCGTTCATGGTCCGCTTCCATGTGAGTTTATTTTGGTTCCTACCTCACCTGGGGTAGGGTACCCATTGGAAGGGTCCCTTGCGGTGTAACCTTCCCTTTTGAAGGGGACCTGACTTGTTATTGAACTCTGTTGGATTTTCAACGTCGTAATGAGGATTGCTAGGCTGACAAGGCGTGCGAAAGACGCGTCCTGGCGTCGCGTATCTGCATATGCAAACTTGCAGATGCTCATTTCAGCCCCCTTTTCTCGTCTCTCAACCCGCGTCCCAACATTATGAGACGACGACGTTCGAGAAGACTGGAGAGAAGCTCCCGGCGGCGGCAGCGGTGACGTCCTCACCCCCATGCCACTTTGTCGTCTCATGTCGAGGCAGATCGGGGCCCACGGCTGCCCCATGCTCCTTCTTTTTGCGGATACCTCTCTCTGAAGCTGAAGCTAGGGGTCCATGATCTTCGTGGCTGAGGAGGAAGAAAAAAAAAGAAAAGCAGAGAGAGGCCAGACAAGAAAGAAAGCCTTGCCTCGTGCTGGTGAAGGACACCCGTTGTCGACGTTTCAAAAGTCTTGAAATAGTTCCAGATAGACGTACACGCACAAAAAAGGGGAGGGTGATCCCCCCTCCGAACACGGGCAAACAGGGTTCTCTACCCCATATCGAATGTTTGAAAATGTTCGAGAAGGAAAGGGAGGAAGAAAGGGCCCGCTGCTGCTGCTCCTCGTTTCGCAAATCTGAAGCATGGGACAAATAAGGTCAAGCCACACCCGTAGTCTCTCTTCCTTCTATCTCGGCGTTACCTACCTGCTGGTGGCACACGGCACGCTTCGAAGATGATGTGCGACGGGCCGACAAGACATGTAATGAGAGGGAGAGGTTCCTGACGACGGTGGCGTTCTGTTTAATTCTGCAAGGCCGCAGCGCAGACGATGCCAATTTCCTCGCCCAGCGACATGCCGAACTGCGAAGTATTACCAGGGTTTCCAAGCCTCGCCGAGCTTGTATCTGTAGCATGATAGTGATGGTGTTTTTTTTTTTTTGCTTTTTCCCTTTTCTGCACAGCCGTATTCCAAATTTGAGGATCGACCTGCCCATCCAACCTGCCAACGATTGAGACTTTGAATCAAGGCCGGAAGAGCCAGCTCTTCGCGCGCAGAGTCCCCGTCCGGCGCGCCATTCATTCATTCAATCGAGGGAGTGCCGCAGAGAGAAACTTGCCCGGACTCACCAGACCATCTCCTTCACAAGTGGAGAGCGACGCTGCGGATCCCGAAACCACCTAATCAGAGATCTCCCAAAACCACCCCGGTCGTGGCATGTTCACATGTGCTTGTCTCGTCCAAGGCACATCAACTCGCAGGCAGGATATCTTGTTCAGCTTTGGTATCCGTTGCTTCGACAAATCCTTCTTCTCTCTTCTTCCTCTCCTGCCCCATCTTCAGAAGGCGAAAAGATCCACGATTGTCAAGCGGCCGGGGGATACGAAGACGGGGTTTGGTTTGCGGCCGTGGTCATGGATCCCCTACCCACTCGACGTCGACCTCGGTGCCCTGGACGTCTGTGTCTCCCGTCCGTTGTCTTGTCTTGCTGACTGTCTATCCATACGTACCTGTCAGTTTGATGATGTCTCTGGTCTCGGTGTTTGCGTATCGTGCGTGTGCGTGTCTATATCCTGACGCCGGTATGGCATCCCAGTCTCCGGGATGGATGCGAGGCGGCACGGCAGGACGCAGCGCGCTATCATGCAGTCTGAAGTCTGACATCGTTGTAGGGGTCGGCACTGAAGCTCTCTCTCTCTCTCTCTCCCTCACCCCTCTCAGCTTGCTTGTGCTACAGATTTGCCGTACCGCGAAATGAGCGATGAGCGATGGGTAGGCCTGCAAATCACAAGTGACAGCCCGTGCCATGGCACCGTCGCTTTCTTGTGTCGCCTTCCATGCTAAAGACTAGGTAACAGCTTAGCTTCCTACGGCAAAAGGTAGCAGGACGCAAGGCGGGACAGGGAACATGGTGCTACTAGGGTCTATTCCTTCTGCAGCAGAAATGATTTGAGGTAAGGTACTGCGTAGGTTAAAGGTATCTATCTGTACGATGAAATCACAGAGGCGAATGACTGACTGTAAAGGACGAAGGAGGGATGTCCATGCCATGCCTGCAAGATTTCGGGACGCCCACAGCATACACACATGGACACACACACACACACACGCCTCCCCCGATTGCTGTTAGCATGGGGAGATGACGAACAGCTCCTGATGGTTTTGTTTTGCTTTGCGTTTTGATTTTTTTCTCTCCCTATGATTTCTTTCTAGGCCTTTTTTCTTTCCTGAACCTCGCCTCGCCTCCCCCCGTCCGCCCTCTGCCGTCTTGACTGTTCCTTGGAAAACCCTTGCAAACATGAGCCTTTCCCGTTTGAATCGGTACAATCTTGGATCTGAGACTGCCGGGCTCCGTCGCCTGTCCCGGTCCTGGACCTCGCCTTCAGCCCTGGGCCTTTCCATCCCAACAGCCCCCGTCCCCAGTTTCTCGACGTCCCTCCACCATCACCACCACCATCATCGTCGACGTCGTCCCCGCTGGCTGGCGCTGATGTTCCTCCTACCCCCCGGTTCCGGGATGCTATATTCAGATACGTGAATAATAATTCAAGGACTCTCGTAGCTGCGTGACAGGACCGGCGGACCGTCGACAACACCCATGTTGCCTGCACATGCGCCTGCGGCGGCCCAGGACGAGGGGTACACCAACAAAGTGGACATGTCCATGTCGCCTGCGCGTGCTGTCCTATCCAGAGCCTGTGTTATCCTGTCCCGTTCTGTCGCCATCCAGTCAGAGGAGGCGCTGCTTCACGGAAAATGGGCAATCCAGGCCCAGCTCAGCCCAGCCAGGCCACCAGCAGCAAGTAGATGCTGCCCAAAAGAGTGAAGGCTCGAAGAACAGAGAGAGAGAGGACGTGTACGATAACAGAACAGGAACCTGTGGCCCCTGCCTTGGCAGCCATCGGCCTGCCTCTGTGCATGTGTGCTTGTGTGTGTGTGTGTGTGCTCAGTGACTATCTATCTGTCTCTCGCTCTCACTTGATTCGCATTTCTTGTTTTAACGTCCCCTCGCCTTGCTTCCTCCTTCTCTCTCTCTCTCTCTCTTTCCAGTCGTCTTCCTCCTCTCTTCACCTACCACCCCCCTCCATCACGAGTTACCCTTCTCCCGATTTCCCGTCCCCCCACCATCAACATCATTCGTTCTGCGCCTCTCTGCAGCCGTTGGACAATATCCGGCGTCGGTTCCCCCTCCGTTACATCTCCAAGGTCACCCTGCAGGAAAACAAGAGTTGGAGTCGTGCCCGCCTCACACATCGGAGATAAGACGTCGGCCCCTCATCAGCCAACCCCAAGCAAGCCAGCGAAGAGCGACACACACAAAAACCGGACGACGAGAAAGCAAGACTTGATTTGGGTTCCAGCATAGGTGGAAACGCAAGGAATACGGGTTTAGAAGAAGGACAGAGTTGGGAAATTCGGAGGAAATTTCGACACGAATGAGACGAACACGGCGGCAACACCCATCCCCAATCAGAGACTGAGACGACTGAGACGACTAAGACGAGAAGAAGATGCCGTCACTATCCCTCCTCAGACGGGGGTCCAAACAACATGAGCAGCAACCGCTGAGCGTGTCGCCGCAGACGAGTCCACGGAAGGCGGACGGCAGAGAAGCGGGTGCGGGCATGGGCATCGGCGGTCCAGGATCATTCGCAGGATCAAGAAGAGGAACGGAAACAGGATCGGGAACGGGGACGGGCGAACGGGAGCGCAAATCGTCCAAACGGGACTTCTTTGGCGGGCTGCTGGGCCGCAGTCGAAGCCGAACGCCCGCGACATCGACGACGTCGTCACCGGCCAGCTCTGCACGGAGGGGGGCCGGTGCGGAGTCGCCAACCAAGTTTCCTGTAAGTGCCTTTTTCACTTTGCTATTATTATTATTCAAGTTCTGTTTGCTTCCTGCCGAGCTTCCCTTTGGATTTTTTTTCCCATAGTCGATCTTCAGATCACCCGCGCACATGCGTGGTTCTATTTTCCACCTTTTTAGTGGTCCAAGTGGCTCCTCTCGGGACCCCTCAGGCAAGGTCCCTGAAGGGCGCATTTTGCTGGAGCAAGTGGAAGAAGCTCCATGTCCCGATGCTCCGATGTTCCGATGACCGTAAGTCCCGGCGAAGTCCAGTCTGGACGTGAGGAAGTCCTCGGAATAGAAGCAAGTGTGCTGGGAAGACGCACGCAGTGTGCATTGCATTCCATTACACAACTTCGCAGCTTTATTACACATTACACACAGGCAATATGCGCATCTCAGTACCACCCACCCTCCAGCTTACAGCTCACCCCGCCCTCCACGTCCTCTTCCATCCTTCGTCCAGACCAGCGGCTGCGGCTGTCTTCTGGCCGGCCCGGTCGGCGTTAGCGAGCGAGTTTGCCTTAGCTAAGGCTGGGCCCTCCGTGCAACGTGGAGACCTCACCCTGGGCCGTGGCCTGGACAGGAGGAGCTGGAGCTGCACCTGGCCTGCTGATGCTGATGCTTCATCAGGTCTCGTCCGTGGTGTTGCTCGGCGCTCGCCCCTCTTTACCGGGCTGGACACGGATGGGCCCTGGACCTGCCCTGGACGTCGAGTGACCTGCTGCTTGCTTGCTGCTTGCTGCTCGCTGCTGCAGCCGCTGCAGAGAGTCCAACACGACGTCGTCACTGCCAATTCCCCTCCATCGTGTCACTCCCCCGCCATCATCTCATCCAATACATCAATCGGAGCTGCATCAGGCCACTTCCATTGCCCTGCCTTTCTTTTCTTGCCCACTTCATAACACCAAGTACCGTCCTTTGGAGCCCACTGGACGGATAATCGTCCTTGCCGTGACGTTCTTCCGAGATGCTCGCCTGTTGACGGTGACCGGGTTTCTATTTTTTCTTCGTCCGAGATGCGACGCGAGATGCTCTGACGATCTTCTACCCATTGCTCCCTTGCATGTTCCCCTCTGCCGCGTGACCACTCAGCTGAAGTCTCCCAATTGCCCACTTTGCACCCCTTTTGTCATTGTCAAACACTTCTCAGCTTTTTTCTTCTTTACTCTTTCCTTCGTTTTGTACTCTAGCAAGCCACTTCGTACTTTGATTCAACCTCAATATTGGCGACAAGCGTGGTCGACCTATTAGCAACAAGGAACCGATTCCCCTCCTCCAGGAAGCATTCCATACATCTTGCTTCACTTTCCTCCAATTGGATCATCCTCTCTCAGCCGTTGCAAAAATAAGCCGTTGTGTCTCACCAGCAAACCCCAGGTTTCCCCTCCGCAGAGCAGTGCCGAGTCCCGTTCCTCTCGATCGCCGCCCCCTCTTAACCCCAACAAGCCACTTCCTTCCCCGCCTCCAGTCGACAGCGACCAAGCCAATGGCCCGCCGGCCAAACCAGTCTTGAAGCTGACCAGAATCATGGCGACCCTCAGCGACGACGACATTGAGAAGCTCTTCTCCGGAGCTCCTCAGTACTTTGCCCGCTCCGAGGGCCACTACACCGGCGCCCCTCACCCCTCCGTCGCCTTTCCCTGGGACGAGTCTCTAGAGATTCGCGACTTGACCGACCATGTCCAGATCGAAGACGCCGCCTGGAGCTGCATCACCGCATGGCCTCATATCACCAGGGATATGAACAGCAACCCGGCCGCCATCAAGTGCGCCCGAGAGCGGAAGCGAGCCCACTTCTACCCGCGATGTCGAGAACGGCCTAATATGCTGAGCATGCAGGGTTTGGAGAAGGGCACCATGGGCTATCAGGCAGCTCTGGAGCTCCCTGTCGGCGATGCGCTTCAGGAAGAGCAGTTCGGTTTCGGCACCCTCGGGTCCAAGGCCAATGCCATCATCGACGCCCGTCAGAAGCTGCTGGCCTCCAAGGATGGTCTGCGACGCTTGGAGGAGTCGGGCATCTTGGACCAGCTCATTAAAAATGGTGCCAGGTACAAGGAGAACAGAATACACAGAAAGATCCATCACACCTTATACAACGAATTGTTCCTTGGTATCTTGCACCCACCAACCCGAGTCGTCGATCACCAGGACCCTTACAGCCTCTCCGTTCAGATCCAGGCGCTAGTCAAGGTTCTTGCCGCGCCGAACGTCTGGATCGACTTCTCGCATGTCGAATGGAGGATTCGCCTTGGTCAGATACTGTGGGGCTCCTTCGAAGGCGACGAACTGGAAACCGAAAATGACATTGACGATGCCGAGACCAACGAGGAGCGCAAAGAGGAGAGATATTGGTTGCTGATTCAGATACTTCTCTCCTGCGAGCTTTTAATAAGATTAGACGCCATCACCGAGGGCGAAGAATTGGGCATCGAGAGTATTAGACCCGCTGAGATACATCGTTTCGAGAAGGACGCCAATCAGTCGGTTAAGTGGTCACTACATTTGGCACGGGCTTGGCTCGAGAATATCGATATTGTCGAGGCCAAGATTGACCCGGCCAACGTGGGCCAGAAGCGCAACTCCGGAGGCTGGCTGGCTTCGTTGACCGGCAAGATGAGCCTGCACCACAACAACCACACCAATGCAGGGGACAGCATGTCCATCTATACCATTCAGGGGCGGTACAGCGAGAGGCAGGTCAACGGCCTGACGCACTTCGCGAGGAAACTCCGATGGCCCGATATCGATTCGGAAAATTACGCAGAGCAGATCGAAGAAACGGTTGGGAAGGTTTCCGAGGCAACGCCTATTCACACGCCTTCAGAAACACCGTTGAGCATCGATACCCGGAGATCGTCCTATTTCGGCGGCGGCCGGGCTGAAGCAAGCGTCACCCGGCATCCTTCGGGGAAGCGCAAGATTTCCGCAGCCCTTCATCCGTCTGGGTGGTTGTCCAAGTCGTATGTCTCCGGGCTGATGCTCCCGGGAGAAGGACTCTACCACTTGATCATGTCCACTTTGCTGGAGAACGACAAGGAGGCCATGGAAAAGCTGGGGCCGATGGCGAACCTGTGTGGTGGCTTCGTCTATCGAGGGAAGAGCTTCTGGAGCACAGCTTGCATCGTTGGCCGTGTCTTGGCGGCTGGTAAGGGCTCTGCTCAGTGCATGGGCTGGATTTCGAGCGAGATCACGCCTCAAGGCCACGCTGATGGTTGGATCAACATTGACGTGGCGGATGTTTCCGGTAAACCTTTTCATCGTTGACATTGGAGGAAATTGCTAACTGTGGTGATAGCGGATATGAAGAAGACCGGCAGACAAGCGAGACTTTGGGGTAAGACACACGTTGAGCGGGAGTCTTGCGTGCTAGGAGACGCAGACCCCAGTTCGGTGTTGCCCGCAGACTTCATCATCCCTTACGAGAACAACTACGTCGAGCCACCACCCAGCTTGAGTACTGAGCTAGTGTCGCTCAACCTCTTTGCTCCTGTGGATTCGGTCCATACCACGCCGACGGAGGAAATTTTGACTCCTCTCACTGATGTGACAAGAGCTTCGGAGATCCACACTTACCCGGCTTCGATCTCGTTTTCCGTCGGCCCCAACGGCGGCGAGGCCAAGCAGTACAACTTGGCATTGTCGAACGACATTCACTTTGTCACGGCGCATCCATGTGCTCCGTCGTCTCACGTGAAGGTGATGAGATCACCTTCAAGCCCAACAATCCAGCAGATCGATGTGGACGGCACCGGCATCGGGGGCAAGAGCTCCAGCCCTGCCACCATCACGGGTAAGCCACCCACTCACTCGCCAGATCAGCGCAGCCACGTATCCATACTGACCCTGTTTCCCAGGACATCCCCTGCACAAGATGTTCACCTACACCGTAATCCACCTCTCCGAGCTCCTCGACAAGCAGGATGCCTCCCTAGAAGACCTCCTCCAGAACACGGCCTCCGTCCGACGCCCCTCCCTCACCCCCACGACCAACGCCAACACGGCGCCCCGCGTCCTGGTCATCGACTGCATCACGGGAATCGCACGCCAGGCCCCGACGCAGGAGACGCCCACCTCGCCCATTCTCGAGCGCACCGCCAACGGCGCCAGCCTCGCGGCGGCCAAGATGCACCTCGAGTCCCGCCGCCGCCAGTTCGGGAGCGACATGGAGATCCTCGTCCGCGCTTTCTGCGCAGAGAAGGGCTGGAACGCCATCATCTCGCGCCGCCGCCGGGGATGCCTCGCCTGCGCCATCAGAGAGGCCGGGGCGCTGGCGTGGAAGGTCATCATTCGTGTTGACTGAGAGTATGACTTTTGTTCGTCTGTACATGTCACAAACACCACTTATTATTGAGAAAATGCGATGGGGCGTAAAGTAGGTTTTGGAAGGGATACACGGGGGTCAACACAGCGCACACACGCACAAACGTTACAAAACGCACACACATACGAGCGGACATACATAGCGATCTTTTCTTTTCTCTTTTTTGACGGAACGACTGAAGAGGAGACGAGACGAGACGAAGCGAAGGGCGGAACGAAAGGTGTCTGTATGTCTTTTAACGTGAAAAAAGCGGAAAAGTGTGAGATACCCCTATGAAATATACACACGTAATGAAGGAAATTCCTCTCTCTCCTTTGTCGTGACAAGTTGGACGCTATCTTATCCTGTGTGAGACATTCCATCGCATGGAACGTCGCACGGAACGCGGAGAAGCTTCAATTGTGGCTTGAACCGTTGGGCGCAAAGTAGGTAAGAGAACGGCACGCATGGTGGCACTGCAGGCCCGACGGATGGAATAGCCAAAAAAGATACTTCGAAGTAGATAAGCCACACCATAATTCTTTCGCATCTCTTCACAATTTGGGCTTTATACTGGTATCATCCCGTAGAAAAAAATCAAATATCCTCCTCTTTCATCTAAAAACGCTACACAACGCTCCGAGCTGGGTACCTTAGCTAGCTCCTCAAAGATCGCTCCCGTCGAACCAGCTGTCGACGCTCCACTCCTTCCAGCCGCGCTCCTCGCCGGGGAGCTTGATGGCCTCGTACTCGTCGCGGGTGACGCGGCGCCACTCGTCGAGGGGGATCCAGCCGATGTAGGCGCGGTCGCCGAAGCCGCCGATCCAGTAGACGGAGGTGACGACGAGGCGGACCCACTCGGACTCGTGGACGGGGCTGCCGGGGAGCCAGTACTTGCTGTCCGGGTGCTTGGCGACGAAGCAGGAGGCGAGCCTGACGGCGGCGACGGGGTCGGCGGGGATCTTTTCGAGGTAGCCCATGAGGGAGAAGCGGGGGAGGTTGGCGGCGGAGTAGGGGACGGTGTCGGGGGTGCTGCTGCTATCCTCAGAGGAGGAGGAGGAGCCGAAGAGGCGGTTCTTCAGGGAGGAGAGGAGGGAGATGCGCTTGGCGGGCGGGTAGGGCGGGACCCAGTGCATGGAGAGGGAGATGTTGGAGCCGGCGCGGACGTTCTTGAAGGAGGTGGCGATGGTGATGGCGAGGATGGTGGGGTCGCCCTGGTCCTCGCAGTCGGCGACGTAGTCCATGAGGCCGATGGGGACGCCGGAGAGGTCGGTGCCGGAGGCGGAGCGGGCGCCGGCGGGGAAGACGGTGGAGAGCTCGGCGAGCTTGGTGTGCGCGAGGATGCGGCGGGCCATGACGGCGGACTCGTAGGAGGTCGGGATGCGGGAGGTCGAGGCATCATCGTCGGCGGAGGGGTTTTGGAGGATGTGTTGGGGGGTTCCTGGGTGCAGGGCCGCCGTGGCGGTGGCTGCGAGGGAGAGGAGGGCGGCGGGCTTCATTTTTGGCGAGGTGGGACGAAGGTGGTCGCGCTGGTGGTGGAAGGAGATGTGAAGGATGTAGCTGGAAGGCGGGGATGGTGAGGGTTTTGTATCGCGGGGCCCGTCTTCTTCTTCTTCTTCGCGTCAGGTTCGGTCGGTCGGTCGGGTCGGGGAGGACGGAATCGATCGTACGAGGTGGGATGGCGGGATCGGAAAGGGCTAGGGGAGCCAAGATCTTTTTTCGGGGGTGGTCTGCGTGATTATATCAAGTATTTTGCACCGGGGACGATGCCTGCTTTTGGGCGTCCCTTCTTTTCTCGGTCGGTGGCCGCGGCGGCGTGGGTTGAGTGGTGAGGCGTAGGTAGTAGTAGTAGTAGTTGGTTTTCCCAGTCGGGGACCCGCTGATTGCAATTACGAATCGCAACAGAGCCCTTGATCAGGAGACGGGGTGCAGTTGAACGAGTCGGGTTCTGTAGCGGCGGCGCGCGCAGGTTTCTGGGGTTGGTTGGTGGGAGATCACGTTAGGTAGGTAGGTTACCGGTTTGGCCAAGCGAAACTCCGCCGGCGCAGAGGGCGAGCGAGCGAGCAAGCAGGCAGGCAAACCACCACTGCGGAGGGCATGTGATGTCTGGGATGAGACGCTGGGTACCTATTGGGCGGGGTGGGTTTAGATCTGATAAGACCAAACGTCGCCTAGCGCCGAAGGACCGAAGGGAAAAGGGTTCCACATGGGGAGACTGCGAGAGCTCATGCGGGCGGGCATTGCATGGGCAGGCCGGGGGTAGGTGGTGGTCTAGGCGCCGCCGCCGCCGCCGCGGTATGCGAGGTGGCAGGTTCTGGGTTTGGGGGGTTTTGGTGTAAAAGCTTCGGCCTGCCAATAACGAATTCCGTTAGACTGGAAAATTTGGTGTCTGCTCTTGCAGGGAAGGGCGTTGCATGATCATTTTCTGCTCTGTGTTGGATGACGGGTTGGTAGGTAGGATGACTGGATGAACGACTGTGAGAGTCAGTTTGCGCCTTCAAAATACACATCAGCCCAGGGTCTCACTGTGTGTTTCTTTTTAGGACGGAACCACACCTGCATCAGGTCGAGTCAACCCCCTCGTATTGTCATTGTGTTATATCGTTGGTGTGATTAGTGTCGTCGTTGTTGCAGCATCGTTGTTGGTGTTGTCGTCCTTGTCGTCGTAGTATTGGGTCTAAGTCCAGCCATCCAGATCGTACTGATGACCGCAATAGTCGCCTTAGCCTAAGTACGTGCCTGCCAACCTGGGTAGGCATGGAAGGCATTTTCGTACCTGAATACTTGGGAAATTCCAGAAACAGAGACATCGCTGGGAGACAACGCCGAATGTCGTTAGCAGGCGTCTATTGGCTGAGAAATTCTTTTTTAAGTGGGACCCGTGAAAGGCGCACCCTTAACACGAAGACAACGCTCAATTTCGAGCCCTTCAGTTGACGACGCGACACGATATATGACGAGGGGAATCATCAAAATTGGCACACCGTTTGATCCTACATTCGGAAACCCTACCTACTTTTGCGGCCGCATTTTTTCGCGGTGAAGAAAGGGCTGCACTCATCTCCGTCCGCAGACCCCGCTGAAATTTCACCTCTCACTCAAGGTAGCGTCATGCCAAAGTCACGCACTCACAAACAACGTCCGCTCAAGAGGACCAGGCGCAACTCTCAACACCACGACACCTGCAGAACCGAAATGAAGAACCCGATGGCGACGTGGAACGGCCTCCCGGCCGAGCTCAGAGGGCTCATCATGGACTACGTAGCCATCGGCGCCCAGGAGTACAACAGGTCCAAGGCCTCAAAGGGCAAGAAGGCCAGCAGGCGCCGCGGCATGGGCGGCTACGCCGTCGTCTGCAAGCAGTGGCAGTGCTTCATCGAGAAGCACAACTTCAGGACTCTCGAGGTCGGCTCGGCTAGGGACCTCTCGCGCTTCGACCAGATCATGAAGGACCCCCGCCGCCGCTCGCTTCTCCGCCGAGTGTCGCTGCGCGTCGAGCTACCCCGCTATTCTAAGAAGCTGGCCAAGGTACCCGAGACGGACATCGAGATGGACGAAAACGAAGTCATGTTTACGCGGGGGATTTGGAACTTGTTCGACATCCTGAGCAAGTGGACGTTGGAACGTCCTGAGGGGATCGAGTTGGAGCTGGGCGCAGCGTCGCCGAGTGACAAGCCCGAGCTCTTTGGAGAGGCGGGGCTGGATGAGAATAGCGAGTCGCGGTTCTTCAGTCACGAACTCGACTTCTCTTGGATCACGGCCGGATGCGAGCAGGTTGGACGTCACGGCCTTCCGGAAGTGTCCGTCGTCTCAAGTTGTCATATCCTCAGAAAGAACCATCGCAACTTCTCCTCTCATGCGCTTCTCACCATCTTCTCGAGTCTACCCAAGCTGCGGGAGATTCGATATGAGCCGTGGCATCAGATCGATATGGAGTCGCAGCTAGAAGTCGATTCAGGTATGGTTTATGCAAGGATGTTGTGAGGACGACACTGACGTCTACAGATCTCGCCCGGACCATGCCCTTTTATCCATCACACATAAATCGGGTCAGTATCTTTGAGCACTTCGACGCATTCAACGATGGAGCCGGAGGCGAAGAGTGGGAGGACGCAGATTCGTCGTCTTCTTCCTCATCAGACGACGACAATGATGACCATGATGACGGGTATCCGGACAACAACGAAGACAATGGGGGCGACGACGAGTCCAACACCAGTGGAGACGAAAGTGATGCCCCTATCGACCCCTTGGACACGGATCCGTTTCTTCCTGAGAGGACAGAATGTCGAAGTCTCGCCAAGAACCTGGCCTATCTAAGCCTTCAAGCGGAAGAGATGGCGGTATCCAACATGGCTGATGCATCCACCTTTTTCGGCAGCTTGCTCTCCAACAAGACCCAGCCGCCCGTATGGACGAATTTACGCAGACTCACCCTCACCTCTCACACCATGTTATCCGGCATTGAACCCGAGCAGATCAACAAGGTCCTGCATCTCACAGCCACCGCCGCGAAGCAGATGCCTGCGCTGAAGATGCTGGAGCTGTATAAGGTGGACCAGTTCGGCGCCGCCGTCTTCCGCTACACGGTCGACACCATGTCGACAACGGCGAGCTGGGAGAGCACGTGGGAGTTCCGCACGGAGGAGCGCGTCAGGACCGCCTGGTCGGCCGTCGCCTCCAAGAACACCAACCACGAGCTGGAGTTCCTGCCCGAGGTGATGCTGGGCGAGTACCGCGGACCGTTCATCTTCATCAACGAGAACCTCCGGTCCAAGGACTTGGTGGTACACCCGGCCTCGCTCGCGGACATGCTGGCCAAGGAGATGAACAAGTGCAATGCTTGCCACGGGTTCTGCGCCTATCCGAAGCCGAACCTCCCCCTTGGCTTGACCCCGACGGCCTCTACTCACGGAGTGGTCGACCTGACCGGAGATTCGGAGTGAAGTGGCAGGAGTACGGCTACGTGCAACGACAATGCCGCTACGACATCAGTGACTTATTTGTGTGGGGCGACGAAGATAATAACGGACGACGACCACGGCGTCAACAACGATGACTATGACGACGAATTATACTTGGCCGGGTCATCTACCTGAGTTAGGTAGCATACCTTTATCCGGAGGCATTGGAGGAGTGATTGAACAGCTCGACTTGTGCGGACGAGGGAGGTCTTCTTGGTTGGTGTTGGAATAAGGAAGAAGAGGACAGGGCATTGCCTGCTGTGCGAGCAGCTTGATACGACCAACAGGCCGTATCTTGAGGGCATCACCATGAAAAATGAATCGCTTAGAGTTTGGTTGTCTGGTATTTAGAGGTTCCTGCATTCCAAGAAAACAACGGCTACGTGCAAGCATGGAGAGATACCCTGGCACAAGCGCGAAGGGCGGAAAACCAAAGTAATGGCATCGATGCATTTGTTATGAAGAATCCGATGACTCAGAAAATACTAGTCCGGCGAACCCAATCCGTCTCGCTAACGTGATTGCATGGTGACGCCTTCACCGATGATTCATTCGCCGTGCCCAGACCCTTGGGGGGAGATCTCAAGTCCTAACTCCGAATTCTGACCGGACCACCCTCTCCGTCCAAGCGCAGGCGAAGGCGAAAAACAAAAAGGGACAAAGGGGCCCGCCCTTTTTCCTCGCCAAAATCCTGTCCGCCCCACCTGAAACCCCTCACGTGACCAGGGTCCACGCCCACAACCGGCAGAATTGACAGAATCCCGCCTTTGCCTCCCACTGCCACCCATCGCACGCATCGCCCATCGCCCGCGACGAACTCGACAACTCACCCCGAATAACCCCAACTCAACAGCAACAACACCCCCCCCAAGTCGACAACATGGGAAAGGTTCACGGATCGTTGGCGCGTGCCGGAAAGGTCAAGTCTCAGACGTAAGTCTTTGCCCGATTTTCTTGAGTGCCCTTGGTTCGGTCGGAGGAGGCGGGAAAGGAAAAAAACAAGCTTTGGTCATCACCGAATGATGAGGGGAACGGTCGGGAAAGAGGAGGCATAAAGTTCATGAGCGACGACGAACGGTCGACGACATGATGGAAAAGGGGATTTCACGACGACCAGGATATTGTTTTCGTTTTCTTCGATGGAAATGAACGAACGGATGCTGACGTGCTCTCGATAGCCCCAAGGTTGAGCCCCAGGAGAAGAAGAAGACCCCCAAGGGCCGCGCCAAGAAGCGTCTCACATACACCCGCCGCTTCGTCAACGTCACCCTCACCGGCGGCAAGCGCAAGGTACGATTTTCCCGATGATGATGAAGACAACAGCGTCTTTCCTCGTCCCACGATCACACACAGAAGTCGCTAACGCCACCCGCAGATGAACCCCAACCCCGGCTCTTAAATGCCTCTTTCTCTCCTCTTCCCTACGCATTCGATACGACTCTAGGAACGTCTGGGACCCCAAAACACAACCGGCATGAGGGTGGAATCGACGGGACGATTGTTACGGGGGCTTGGCTGGCGAAACAGGTGAAATTCTTTTCCACGAATTTTTTATGCGCGTCACGGGAAAGGAAAACCACATGGATGGTCCGTTCGGGTTTCGACGACAGGCGGTATCCCGCGAGATGCCCGTCTTCGTCGAAAGCAGACCACCCGACGAGGAAGGCAAAAAGAGACATACGAATTGCGTACTGCAGAATACGTAAAGAATCATTTTCTGGCATTGAAATATTCGGAAATGGGGAATCTCACACGCACACGCACAAGCGCAAGCAACCTTCGTCCTGCTACCATCACTCTGCCCATTTTTTATGTTTGTCCTGTTACGAGAACAACGTCTGATACGCCCCGAGGATGCAATGCAACGCTCGCCACCCGGCGTGCTGGACGAGCTGACGCCATCTGGAGGAATATACGAATGTTTCTTCTATCTGCTATGTGTCTGTTGGTGATGATGGACTTGCTGGGATGTGTTCGTCTATCAATTTTGGCGATGGCGAGTTGCTGATAACATCCATTCCCAAACGCCATCACATCTGCTCATGAACGACATCCAGCGGCAAGTATGACACACCGTCCACGAAAGAAGCAGCTACCTTGATGTAACGTTCATATGCTGAACATGTGGCTTCCCAAGCTTCACGTAGCCGACTTCCATTTCATTGATCGCTTTTGTGCTGTCGAAAGTCTGTATACTGCCGATATCATTGACAGCACGAAATCTGATCAGTTGCTGATGTCTTGCGTCCCATCCCTTTGCCGCAACGCGGGGGAAAAGCTGCTTGCGGCTTGTTGGGTCTTGCATGTCCAATATGAAGAATCGCCTGGCTTCACTTCTCTTGGTGAGTATCTCTACTTCACAACAGGTTTGCGCTGTTGCTATCTCATATCAGGGAGTTACTTCTGGTGGCTGTTTCCCATGAAAGCAGCTTGCCAGCCGATTCGAAGCATCGATGGCCGATGATAACGGATTGGAAGACGGCGGGCGGACGTCATGGTATTCCACAATCGGATCACGAACATGATTCATTACTCCATCCATGCTAACACGGGCATTTTTCAGTCAGACTGTATTTTACTAAACTTTTACTTTACTCTCATGGTAGGTACATCTATCCTCCCAAGATTCTCACCATCACACACCAGAAGGTCGACTCTCTACTCTCGACAAGACGAGGCAAATCTACCAAAATCCCGTCCAGGCCGTGTCGATAGTCTTATCAGACTCGGGCTTGACACGGGGAGTCCCCTTACAAAGCTGCTGATACTTGGCCGGGACGTTCCCCATCTTCCGCATGCCCAGCCTGTTGCGGGGGTAGTCCTCGGGGTACTCGGGGTACACCTCGCGCATCTTCTTCCTGCACTCGTCCGTCGCCTCGGGGCAGTACGCCGCCATGCGGCGCTCGATCTCGCAGCCGCGCGTCACGGCGTCCCCGAAGCCGTCGATGTCGAAACGGCCCTGCTCGCGCTTCTCCAGCGCCCCGGCCTCCTCCTCAGACAGGAGCGCGCTGTCGGCGGGCAGGCCGCGCTTGTCGCGGGGGTAGTCCTCCGGGTAGTCCGGGAGCGCGGCGGAGATCTTGGAGCGGCAGTGGTGCTCGAGCTCGGGGAAGTCGACGTCTGGGCAGTAGAAGGACATGCGCATGTCGACGATGGCCTTGTACTCCTCCTCGGAGAGGTTGGGGGGTTGAAGGACGTCTCCGGCGACGAGTTGACGGGGTTTGTTCTTGTTGTTGTTAACCTCTTCGGGGCCGCCGGACTCGCCACCGTCGCCACCGGTCTCGATCTCCCGCTTCGCGAAGGAGACGGAGGGGAGCGCGTTCGTCTTCGTGCGCGTGCACTTGATGAGGGGCGCGCCAGTCGGGTCGCGCGGGAAGTCGGCGGGCACCTCGGGGTGGGCGTTGAAGAGCTTCCTGAGGCAGAACTTGTAGGACTCTGCGGGTGCGTTTTTGTTCGTGCTGCAGTTGCACAGCGTGCGGCCGTTGGTGTCGGCGTCGGCCGCGTCGGCCTTGTCGGCCTTCAGTGCGAGGTTGAGGCCGTGGTCGGCGCTGATTCTGATGGACTCCTGGAGTTCGGCGTCGGTGAAGTTGTGCTGGGCCGTGGCGACGGAGGCCAGGGACGCGGCGGCGGCGAGGGCTGTGGTGACGCGCATGTTTGCGGTTGTTGATGGGTTTAGAGAGTTGAAGAAAGGGGTTGATGAGTTGTTCGTTTTTTCTGAGGAAGAAGTTTGGGTGGACTTGGAAGCGGGATGTTGGCGGGCTTTTATGTTCTTCTGGCAGCTTTCATAAAGGTTGCAGTTGATGCGGCTCACATGTCTTTATGAGTGTTTTGGTACAAGAGATGGAGATAGCATCCCAAGGTTTGTACAAAGTCAGATATGTATAGTTTGCAAATTCTCTCTAGGGCGGCCACGTAAGAGAGAGAGAGAAGATTCCAGCTCCTCATGTCTAACAAACAACGTTCATGTGTTGAGCGGTTCTCGTGGCAATCTCCGCCACAAAGGTATACGATAACCACAGCGGGAATGTAACGTTGTGGTCTTCGTTCCTACCTTCGTGGATGCTTGGGAAGCCTTTCGGAGACAGGATATCTGCCAACCTACCATGGGTTCGAACACAAATGGCTGATATAGTACCTGACCGCCATTCGTTGAAATTATGTCGGTATATTTACGGCGCGTTGAAATCCATGTCCGTCTTAAACGACAAAAGCCTTCCCAAATTTTCTCAAGACCTCGGGCTGACGTTGCAAGTGTGTCGGTGTGGGTGTGTCGAGACATTCAATCACCTAGAAGCTCAAGGCATGCAGTCGACCCTAGAAACGGATGCAAAACAGCCTGCTCTGTGTTGTTGAGCTAGTTGATCTTCCTCCTGTAGGCGTCTGAGTCGTCAAGCCCCATAGATAGGTAGGTGGTGGCGGCCTTGCAATTTTGCTTTGAAAGCCTCCTTCTAAACCGTCACCCAACCCCCCATGGATGCAGCTGACGCCATGGCCGTGTTTACCGAAGTCCAGCTTCAAAGTGGTGCGCAGCCGTAGTCCCAGCCAGCCCATCAACCATGAACGTGACTATCTGCGGGACCGTCTCAGAAACCGAAGCCGCCCCCGTCGAGGACCGAGGACGTCATGGAGAAGAAGGCGACGAGGGAGGGGAGAAGTGCAAAGGGTGTAACTGATGGCTACGTGCAAGTAAGCATCGGAGAAGGAAAAGGCCATGCGGGTTAGCAAGAAGAACACAGATAACCCATCACTGAGAGCAAGGTAACCGGTGGCAAGGACCTCAGACATAAGACCCAGGCTTCCTTTCATATCCCACTTCCGCCCAAGATCCACGTCCAGGACCGAGAGTCGAGCATGCAGGAGCGTTGCGCTACCGGCACTGTGGAATCACCCTTCGAAACAAGAGCCCAAACTACAAACAAGATCGAAGCGCGCAACCCCTTCGAAGTTGACTTCTCTACTCGACTGTTCTGGCCAATTACTCCATCGCACAACGGAGGCGCGTAGCTCCTCTTAAACTCTATGCGCCGTCCCGACGTGGAATGCGACTCTCATCGAACGGGTGCCGTCTGGTACGCGATGTGGTCGGTCCTCTTCTCAGCGCAACAGGGTGCGGACACCAAAAAGAGACACAATCGCACACATTCTGGGGAATGAACGATCCAGCAGTGTCACAAACTCATTCCCAATTTTCCAACCAGACTCGAACTGAAAAGAGGAAATGACCATCGAGCTTGTCGTCTTGCATGTAGTCGGAGCCCATCCAACCAGCGGCCGATGGCATGTGGGGGAGCGACAAGGGTGGTTCGCCGATCGGCGACGGCGCGGGGCCGGCCGAAACCCCGCACTATGGTCCCATCCGGGGCACGGTACCGGGCGGCCGAAAGCCGGGCTGCGGGTATTTCAAGCAAACTCAAAGAGCAAACAGCGATCGACACCAGGACAATCATCACTAATAACTCAAATTATCACGACAAAATCTCATGGCGTCCGAAACATGATGCAAAGCAAAGAAAAGAGGTATCTCAGTTTATATCATCCGATGCGTGGTTCTAGGTATAAAAACATCAAAAATGACGAGTCCGTAAACAAACCCCTCTTCGTTCGAGGAAAACCCGAATACATCCCGGCGCTCACCCAGGTCTTCCAAAGACGCCATTCTAGAACGCGTGAAAACTGAAAGTATGTCCCGGCCCAGAGAGTCTGGAGACGTCCAGACGGCAACCACACGCTGAGAAAGCATCAAACAGCCCGAATCATGCTCGTAAGTCGAAAAAACCGTTGCTCCCCCGTAAAAACATCATCATCTCCAGCGCAACAACTTCGGCGCCGGAAGCTACCATTAAGCAGCATAAGCTGCCTCCCCACAGTCCAGACCCAAGATGGCAGATCTGCGTCAATACAGCCAACCCAATTATGTTTCTGTGTATAGCTGGCCAAAAGACAAAAACCGCCGCGTAAGGACCGATATCAAGGTCTGGTATCAAGCAAGATTCGTAAACATCGCAGGAAAGCAGTATTCCCCAACTTCCACATCCAACTCCATCCGATAAATGGGATAGTGCCCCATTGGTGATTCTATAGTCGAAACGCTTCGTGAAAGACAAATAGGACGCATATCGACGAGATCATGGGCGCTTGAAGCTCGTCGTCGCAGTAGTGTGTAATGTCTTACAAGCTCATCGTGAGCCATTCCCATTCTTGCGGGCCGGATGCTGGCCCTCCTGGGTTCATCATTGGACCGTTTTGCGCACCAGGCATTCCCATCACGCCTGAACTCATCATGGGACGTTGCGACATGCCGAGACCATTTGCAAGACCAAGAGAGCCTGTTGTTGACATGGGGGTAAAACCCGTCGACCCAATAGATTTCGCCGCCTCGTTGGGCGAGCCCGTTGAGTTTTCGGGGCTGTCGACTTCCATACCTGCAAGGTCACTTCCAGCACTCTTGCTGTGGCGCCTTTGGCGTTTTGAAGAACCAGAGGAAGAAGATGTACCCGCATTCCGCGGGAGGGATGCGGCGCCTGGGCCAGGCGTGTTCTTGGGCGGCGCGGCAGCAATCGGCACGACGCCCTTCCCGCCAGCAACAGCACCATTAGACGAACCCGTTCCGAAGCTCGTCGGCGTGCTGCCGGCAGTATTGCCTCCAGATGGGGCTCCACTCGCGGGGCTCTCGACTTCATTCGCACTGCCAGCCCGAGCAGGGGCTGGCGGCGTCGTAACGTTGTTGGTGATGGGAGTAGACGAGATGGCGAGAGTCGAGTTCTTTCTCGAGCCGACTCCAGCACTGGCAGCATTCTTCTTTGATCTCGTGCTAGTGCCGCCAACAGGTAAGCTCGCTCCCGATCCACGGTTTCTCTTCTTGATAACGTCCGTTTTCAAGCTCAGTGGCCGCACAACACCGTGAAGCTTCAGGAACAGACCGCAAGCATTGCATAGCGGCTGACCCTCGGGGTTTCGTCTCCACAACGGTGTTGTCTGCGTGAAGCAGTTCGTACACGTCGTCGGTGTGCCACCCTCCCCTTGGTTGCCCGCGGCCGCCTGCAAGTTGGTCGTAGAGCCGTTCTTCGAGCCCGGCGGCGACGAGGGTCTGCTTGGAGCGACAGAAGAGTAACCAGACACAGTGCCGTTGTTTTCTGGGGGCGAGTTCGGAGAGGATTGAGCCATTCGATCGAAGGGGTTTCCGTTCCTCCCCAGGTGCCCCGCTGGTGTAGATGCCGTGCGGGGGACCTTCCCGCCTCTCCTGTCGGATCCTTGACGGAATGATTGCGACTGAGACCGCGGTAGGTTGCCACCCTCCCAGTCGTTGTTCTCAACGTAGTCTGTCGTGGTGCCGCCGATAGTAACTTGCTTGCGAGGTGGTCCACCGGGGTATCGTGCAGCTTGCGTGCTGTACTGACCCGGAAGCGATGGATCCCAGCCGAGGCTGCTACCATCATCCATAGCGCCAGGTGAGAAGTCTTGGGTCATAACCATGTTGCGATCGGCAAATGCCCCGCCCTCCTCCTCGTCCGAGTCGGCACCAAAGCTGAACATGCCCTCGTTGGGCAAAGACATACCAGGAGAGCGAACAGGATGGTCAGACTGGAAGACTTGCGTCGGGTCGATGTGTCCAAATGGGCTGGGTGCTGTGCTGAAGGCAGACACCGAGTCGGTCGTGGGAGCCGATGCAGGGAACATCGGGTTCCCGTTCGTGTTGTTGTACATGAATTGTTGATTCATTTGGTTTCCCATGTTCTGGGATCCCGGACGGAAGGCTTGCGACCTCTGGCCGCGAATATCCATCGATCCAAAGTAGAAGTTGTCGTTATCGGGCATGGCGTGCGGCGTTGAGACAGTGGAATGATAAGCCGATCCTGGGGGAGAATAAAAATCTGACGGGTTCAGCGAAGAAGACTGAACCGCAGAATTGTTGTAGACGTTGGAAAACGGGCCATGGGATATCATGGGGGAGGTGGAAGGGGAGAAGGAGAAGTTCTGCTGGAAGGGGCCTGCAGATGTGATGATAGGGTCGTTCTCGATGTAGGTATCCAAGGGGAAGGGGACACCCGCCTGATGCGGGTTCTGCGTCATGTTGGCTTGGTTGGCGTTATCGAGGGAATATTCATGAAGCTCTGAATCCGCATCCAAGTCATTGGGCGTGTTTGTGTTGCTGTTGACGGCGGGCACCTGAGGGGAGAAGTCGGCGGGACGTTTACGGGTCTAAGTGCGGACGGGTCAGCGAAGCCCAAAAAGGCACTAACATGATATCGGGGGTGTGGCGATGGGCGCTTGAGGGGGGTGCGCAAGATAAGGTAGGGAAATAAAATAAAATAAAGATGGATGGGTGGAAAAATCAGGTGCGTCGCAGGACAGGCCTGCGGCTCGAACATGGAAAAATCGGCTCACCCTTCGTTCGTCGATACTCGTTTTACGGTGATGCCGAGTAATGTAGTTGAATTCGTCCTGAGTCTTTTGGTGGTGAGGAGGGAACGGGACCGACTGCGGCACAAAGTGCTGCTGCGCGACCGAGTCCTTGCGGGATTTGATGGGAATCGCGGAAGTGAAGGGCTGCTGCATCTGGCTCCTCTCTTCGTTTTGCTTGTGCGGTTGAGGGGAAGGGTTCGTGACAGGCGTGGAAATGTTGTCGGAAAAGATAAAGTCGTCGAGGTTCATGGGCTCTGGGTGGTTGACGTTTTGTTCCGAAGACTTGCGCAATTGAGCAATACCGCTGGGTGCGTTGACATTGAAGGTAGCGGCCGCATGAGCTTGTGGTGCATGTGCCGGCGCAGATCGAGCGAGTCTGCATCATCCCACACAGGTTAGCCAGGTCCGTCAGCAATGGCATACAGCACACCACAGCACAACCACATAAAAAACAGAAGAGGTATGTATGACGGGGCAGTTCTCACCTTGCTCTCTCCTCCTCCTGCTGCTTCTTGCGCAAATTGACAGACATCATTCTCCATGTCAAATTCTCCACGCGCTTCTGGTTGGGCAGCATCTGCTTTGTCTTGCTGAAGAACTTCCAGACGAGAATCGCCAGAGGGTCCTCCTTCTGCATCTCCTCGGGGCTCTGGCTGGAGTCCATGGCCGATTGTTGGAAAGGGGAAAATGCCGATTTTTGCAAAAGGTCGTCCTGCGCATTCGGATACAACGCAGTAGAGAGGTCGAGCCTGAGATCCCGGAGACCGGCGGGCAATTCGCTCGGGCTGGCCTTGGAATGCGCCTGGGACTGCGACGTAATGGCGAATGGGTCGTCAGGCCTCCGCGGGAAGCGATAGTCGTGTTCTGTTGTTGTGGGATTCATTGAGGTGAATGGACTTGAAGTCGAGATTGGTGATGCTGTGGTGGCAGCCATGTGAAAGTCGGACTCTTGGGGGGGGGAGAGGAGGGAAAAAAACTCTCTGCTTCGACCTCTTCCTGGAGAAGAGAGCGAAAGTTCGGTTTCGGCGAGTCGAGGGTCACAAGAAAGGAATTTCCCCACGTTCGCTTGGCTGCAACTCACACACTCCCACACTCGCGCTGGTGCTCTGTGACTGGGTGGCTTGTCTCCGACTCGCTCACTGGGGCTGGTCGCTGGTCGGAGAGGTGAGGTAGGCAGTTAGGCACCTTGAGTGTTGAATGTGGTGCGCCACAGAATAGATCGGTGTCAGGTACGGATGTTGTAGACCTTCTGGTCACGACGAATTGTGTTTGGTTTTGTCGGAGAGGTCTTGAAAGGGTTAAGAAGAAGTTTAGGTCTGGAGGAAGGTTTCGATGGCTAGACTGTCGGGTCGATGCCGCCGGGTTTTTGGTGCTGCAGACGTCGAGGGGAAAACGGGAAGAGACGTTGTTTCTACTTGGTACAGGTCGACGGCGGGAAGGGATCTCTTGTCGTCGCAGCGAGAGCCGGCGGAATAGTGGGCGGTATTGCGTAGCGTAGAGGCAGCAGTGACCACGACCAACAGCCGCGAGTGGTGTCGCTTCCTCGAGTATCCGTACTGCGTATGTGTGAAAGGTGCTGCGACGAGGGTCGACCTGGATGAGGTACGTAGTTGCTGTAGTGTAGTGGATGCCGTGCCTCGTGCAGGGGAGGGGGAGGAGGAGGGCGAGCGTCGGTGGGTGAAGTGGGAGTTGTTGGAGTTGGAGTAGGAGTCAAAGTGGACGCGGGTGGGCGTGGGACGTGGATGTCTGCGCTAGCTCATCGTCAGGTACGTACCGTCTAGAGTAACACTGAAATGCGGGAGGTGGGTGTGGAGTCGTCAAATCGACCTTTCTCACTCACTCACTTGGCTTTCTCACTGCTCCGAATCACAATGGCCCCCTCCCCCCTCATCTAGCAGACTTCGTTCGGCTCCTGCACTCTGCAAAGAGCAACACTTTACTGGTCAATCTTGTTAGACTGTCTGAAATGCACCGAAGGATATTGTGGATCTTGCGCCGAAATTATTCAGATGCTGTTGTAACTATCAACAAGGTGGGGGAAGAACAAGAGACCACAACCACGCGGGGGTGTCTCTGCAGCCTGAGGCCAGCACTTACGGATACTTCCCTCACCTCATCTGCCCCGGCTTGCAAATGCGCGTTGAAGGCCCTGAACCGTTGCCCAGACTGTCAGAGATGACAAGAAGTGGCAGGCATCGCGGCATGTCTGTCCTACGTGCTTGTTCTCTAGGCCGCATTCTCTGTGTTCTGCAGCGTCCTGCAGACAATAGACCGAACAACAGTTTGACCCCTCCCCTCAGGGACCACTGGGGGCCACTACGTCGCAGGGACGCCAGCCCGCTAAGAGCCCAAGAACACAGGCAGATCCCAGCTTGAACCGACAGCGGCGGACTGGTCTTCCCAGCTTCCTAGCGCCAGCGAATGGAAGATTACTTAGCCTCGAGAATCGTTGGTGGAAAGAGTCTCGCTGCCCGTTGTCGGTGCCTCGTCCAAACCCGCGAGCTGGGAATACCCCTCTTCCGACTCAACATCCAATACCGCTTCTTTCACTCTGATACCTGTCGGGCGGTTCTCCCGAGCGCTTGAGCTTGAGTTGGCCCTTTGACCCATTCGTCAGGGGCACATTCGTAATGGGGAGCGAAGGCCTGACATATGATCCGGATCCAAGTTGCGCCCGTCCGCACATCTCGTGTTGGAGTCGTCTTGACAGCGTCTTCATAGCTGACAGGCAGAGCTCCGCATGGCCCGCGGCAGACACCGTCCCAAGCCACGGCGTGGTCCAACGTGAAGAGGAACCAGATAGGCCGCATTTGTCAGGCTGACTATGAAAAGCCGTAGACCGATGGAAGCAGGTTGGAAAATACCGCTCAACCGTACGATGCCTTTCCCGAGAGGGTTGCACCGAACCGAACTGGTCGACAGGCGACTGCGCGGACAGCGGACGTTGAACTGAATTAGAAGAGGTGGAGGCCACTAAAACCGAGAGGCGGCAGCCAGGAAACGAATCGCACCCATCACTGCCCAGTACCGCCTAGCACTTGCCGTTCGGAGTGTGCCCGGCCGGCATTCCTCGTCGCCGATACCTTGTCTCGACTCTTCAGTGCCTTGCTCGCCTCCTGCCAGGCTGGAACCTAAGACAGACAAGCGTCATCACCACCAGCGCTGCCCGCCATGGTGGTCGACTGCTGGGCATCAGCTAACCTCTGCCGTTGCCTCGACCGTTCTCAGAGCACCAACAGCCTATGCCGTGAATCTCCACGCGCACATGGCCCACTGTCTAAGGTCGAGACAGCGTGACAGTCGTGCGTATGGCAGGACGGACGTCGACTCCGCGCCGCTGGTCCAGATTCCGTGGACCATCATGCTGGTTTACACAATCCCGCCGTCAGGTCAGATTTCAGGGTCCTGTCGGGGGCATGGGAGGAAACTTGCAACAAGCAAGGCACGGGCAAAAGCCCGCCCCCTCGAGTCCCATCTCGGCGGAACTCCACCCTGGACGACTTCAACCTCACGCTAGAGAAGCATGGCAGAGGAGAAAATCGAGGCACCGCTGCACCAGCCGCGCGCCGGGCGGCAGTCCCTGGCCGTGGTGGTTGTGGCAGTGACAGTGACAGCGACAACGACAGCGCCAGCCCGCGTGTCCAACGACGTCGCTGGTGGGACCTGGAGCCCATCTGTCGTCCTCACTAAGGTGAAGCACTGGCGCAGTTGATTTGCGCATCTCAGTCGAGAGTCTCGGCCCCAGCATCTGAATTCGTCCTTGGTTCATCACATCTTTCCCCATCCGTTTGCCTCCTCAGACCCCTCTCAATCAAATCCGCATCCATCATCCACATTGATCTCGGGAAAACATGGTTGTTGGTGTTGCTTGCGCATACCGAACGCACATTCCAAACACTAGGCAATTTCTCTTCAACAGATCTGCTGTGTTCGTAGGCTGTCGTACCCGTACAGGTCAGGCCGATTGGAGCCCCATGGAGCAGCGGGGCCATATGTTACTGGGGAGGCATCATTGGCCCCGAGACCAATACCCCGGTGATTCTCGTTCAAGTCGGATGGGTAGGTATTAGTGCACGAGTGCCTGCCGTCGCAGTACAAGTTGCGCTTCGGGCTGCCATTGGGGAATTCTTCATGGCCAAGGTTTCTTAGTATACGGCAGGTTCCCTAATAAAGTAAGAGTTCGTGGCCAAGTTGGGACAAGCTCATCCCGGAGTGTCGGTGGTTGGTGATGAAAGTGCGCCCGCTGTGGCGGGTTGCTTTGCTGATGTTAAAGTGAGGGCATGATGGGTTCAAGGAACTGCAGGCCGAAGGCTTGTGCTCATCACGGATCTGTTGCTTGATTGATCCATGGGCATCCACCCGCAAGCGAGCGAGAATTCGGGCGCATCTCACCGTGGGAAGCGTGGCTTGCGACCGTCTCTCACCCCACCAGCTTTCACCTGCTTCTGCCGTCCATCCCCTGCGTGTAGCGCCTGTCTGGCGCCGCCAATCAGGGTTGTCGCTTGCAGTAAATAGTCTCGAACATGTCGGGGTTCACTGTACCGCGGCTGTACAAGGGAACGGTTCTTGAGTAGGTGAAACCGTTCAACTCGGGTTCTAGTGGTGACATGCTCGTGTATTGGCGACAACGACCCCGGACTGACATCCCACGCTGCAAGTTCGACCAGTAGATGGCCACTGATTGAATGTGTCCCATCCACAAGATGTTGATCCGTAAGATGAAGAGTGAAATCGGTCAACAGTACAGCAGTCGTTCCATGACGAAGGCTGAGTGGAGTTGGCACGTGCGGCGGACGGGCCAAGGATCGCAACGACCACCTCAGCGTCTTGTTCCCCTCACAGAGGGCCAGCAGCGGATGGAGACGTAGATGATGGGGCTGTTCAGCCTTAGGCTTGGGGAAAGCGTGCGGCGGGAGATTCTTCCAGCCTGTAGCCGGCTCTGGGTTGTAATGTGTATCCGTAGTGTATTCGCAGAATCACCCGCACGGCTGTCGACCCAGCCTCTAGCCCGGGTTGGTCCCCCACGCGCGACAGACCAATGTCTGAGTGCAGTCGTCTGATGGCAGGTTGCCAAAAGCACAGACGAGTTGGGGAAGGGGAATTGATTTCTGCTCGGGCGACATTTGAAAGGCCAGATGTGCGACCAGCGTTGGAAGATGATATTAGCCTAAAGGAGCCGCACGAGCTGTGGGATCTCAAATCGGCAGACCACGTCGACGCGGCCCCTTGGCTCCTGGAATAGATCTTGGAGACTATTCATCAGCTGTGCGGCTTAAGCTGGGGCTTGGGGTCGTTGGTCCCGTCGTCGAGGACGTGGAGACCGGGGAAGTGAAGACGTGCAGCTCGCGGCAACGGAACAACACCGAGGACTCCTCTTCTTGATGTCCAGAGAGGAGAAGGCGAAAATCGTTTCGAGTGCGGAGGAGAGAGCTGGTGAGTGAAAGAAAGTGCCTCAAGCTTTGGAAGCTAGAACGCCGTGTCGATGGGTATCCGATGCAGGTCGATGCAGCTCGACGCAGCTCGCGACATTCGGCCGGCATTAAAGGACAAGCAGAAGCGTCAGCATGCATCAGACGGAACGAGATGCATCAACGCGCCTGCGTCTGCAGACTCACCAGAGTGTTGCAGCAAATTGCAGGCAGAGTCGCAGAGAGACACTGCGTGAAGTTGAGTTGACGGGTGAGAGATGCCTCGCGATGGTCGATCTGAAGAAGTATGCGATACCAATAGGTGGTAAGTCGGTACATGTAAAAATAAGTACCTGAGACCGAAGTGGCAGTGGCAGGCAAGGAATCTAGAAGTTACAGGGAGGCCATGCTGATGCTGGGCGACCCCCACACGCGACCGCAAATGGCAGCGACGAACAAGACGAGGAGGGAAAGA